TTTGTTGTCTTTGGTGGGTGTGTTCCTCTCCAGGGTTTTGTTGTTTCTTGTTGGGTAATTTCACTCTCTAATAGTTTTGCCACATCTCTTGTGGCGATCATGCCCTGAGTTTTGACACTGCACGTTTGCTTTGGAATTCTTTTATTCTCCCGTCCAAAAACACCAACGGTAGAGGTAGCAGACGTGACTTTGAATAAAGTTTCTCAAACCATGGGAGGTTGTGGCTGCCAGTGACTGTGCTTTGAAGCATCCTGAGTCAGATGCAGGCATGAACAGTTAAGGTGTGTTTTCCACTGTGATGAATTCTCTCCCCACTGACAGAATCAAACAAGTCTGGTGTCCTGGGGAGTTTCTCTTTTTTTTTTTTTTTTGTTTATGGCTTGGAGGAATGTTAAAAAAAATCCAAAGATGCTGATGAGGAGTAAGACATGCATGGTGTATAATAGTTTAAAAAGTCAGTCTCATGAGGAAGGCTTACTTATTTTAGAAGTGAATTCCATCCTTTACGAGATGTAAATGGTTTAGATCAGTGTGATGAAAACTGTTTGAAAGGAAGACTTTGGTGATGAAGCTGAAGAGACACGTTTGAAATGGTTAAGACATGCAGTGAGAAGGATTCATGAGAGGATGAATGATGGATGAATGTTGGTGTCAGTTGATGAATGCAATAAAAAATGCAACCCTTACTTGGTAATTTAGGTAAAACTGCCAGTGTCTGCCAGACAGGAGTAGTATTCTGAAAGGAGCATTTCACTGAATTATGATGAACTTTGTGAGGGAATCATATTTAACCACAAGACCACTGACACCTTAAACACATTGAGTCTCAAGAAAACTTAGGAGGTACTGTGTTCAAAATCAATGCTGGACAATACCACATAGGCTGTGCACTACTTTAAGTCATCACCGCTGCATTAAATTTTCACTTTGACAAACAAGAAGCCATATGGAGTCTATGAAGACAATACGAAAGGTTCTGTGGTCAGATGAGTCCATGGTTTATTAGGTTTTGGAGACTGGTAGCCTTTCTCTCACCTCTTCATCGTTCTATGTTACTGACATGTGTTTTTCTCTTTCTTGCAGATGAACGAGATAGAGTCCAGAAAAAGACCTTCACAAAATGGGTGAACAAGCACTTGATAAAGGTAAGGTACTTTTTCTCGACTCTGACTGTCACTGGTGTTCACATTCCTGCCCATGCACGTTTCAGATCTATTATCCAGGTTTGTTTTATTATAATGAAGACACACGTGCACAGAACTCAAATGTGAACACATTCTTGTGTTTTTCCTGCGTTTATTTCTAGGTTTTTTCTTCACAGCCACGGGGGATAGGAAAACATGAACGTTACTGTCTGTGGTTCAGGACCTAATAATACCAGTGGGCCACAAACTGCTATGTTGAAGACTTAATAATGGTGTCGACTGTGATATTGGGAGACAAGTGATATCTATTATTAAGAATAATCTCAGATGTAAATAGTAAAAGTTGACTAATGTTTGTGCTGGCAGTACATTTTAATGAGCTTTAACCGCTAAATGCTAAGAATAGGAACGGAAACAATCAAAAGAAGTAACGGAAAAATTGTAGTACAGTTATATTTCTGTGGGTGTGCTATTTCAAAGTTGCATTATTTAAAATATCATCGGTCTCTCACTTGTGCATTGCAAGTGGCTGCACAGAACGTTACCGCTATCATAATTTAGCCGTCAGCTACATCGTTTTGGCTGATCAGAAGCCCACCTTGTCACCAGCTCATCGTCTGCAGACGTCATCCGTCAGCACTTGTCCTCTCGCGGTTTACTCTTTGAATATAAGCTTAGAAAAATCTCCAATTCATCACACACGTTGAAGGGGTAAACAAGGTCATGGTGAGGTATATTCAAACAAGCCTTTCTCCTCACTCAGGAGTATCTCATTACGGCTGAAAAATTACCCCTCAACACAATGAACCCCCTCTGAGAGGGCAATAAAAATAGCTTGGCCGCCGCTGTTCCACCAAACTCCCGTTGGTGGCGGCACGTTTATAGCTTCCATGACAGTTAGAGCTTCCACGTCATGTGATCGTTCACTCCACAGACAGAGAGCCATTCATTTTACCTCCAACAGAATGGAACAAGAGGGACAAACAGAGTGTTTTCCTTTCCATGAATGTGCACTTCTAACGTATTTGGCTGCAGATGTATGAGAGGGCACAGGAGTGACTCCATCTTTTTTTTTTATATACTCAAGTGTTCATTGTGAATTGTGCACACACATCTGGAATCACTTTGCAGCTTCCAAAAGGGAAAATTCTCGTCTCGTCTCACAGCCCGTAGTGGTTCAGGCTAACGGTAGCACAAGTTCTGCACAAACTGTTGGGTCAGGAGGTTACCGGTGTTCAAACCCATCATCAACAAAAAGCATTAGTTGTTGCAGAGGGTTTGAACCATGATTGGATTTCCAAAATGCACAAAAGAAAATTAAAGCTATTTTGTATTTAATTAAATTATTTGCAAAATTGACAGGACAAAATATAAAATGAATATTTTACACTATTTACACACATGATTACAACTAATTTAATAACTTAAAAGATACATAATCACTGAGGTGCAAACATAGAAAATTAGCCTTTTTTTCTCTCCTTGCAGGTTGTAGAACATTAAAACCTCCAGCTGCTGTAAATTGTTCTCAGATTATATATAAAGATATCCTTAGGTGCTCACAGTAGTCACACGAGGTGATGTAAACATGATGTAAACCCTGAAGTATGTTAAGCACCTTGTCTCCCAGACAGTGTCGAGGGACCGTAATGAGGGGCTGTCAGCCATGTGTGCTAATGATTTTCACCATCAAAGATTTTACAGAGCGGCTCTCTTTAAAACTCACAGACCAATTTGTCGTTTTAACTCCCACAACTCGGCTGCAGCACAACCACAAGTGGTGGGAGGGCATTGGAGGGCGGGACCAGAAACTAACTTTCTTTGTTACGACTCACTCACGTAGGTCAGATAAATTACAAAATATGTTATAATATGTCTGGTATATGATGGGACTTGCTCTGACCCCTGGGTTTTATTATTTCACATCACTGTGTCAATCAATGTTCAGGTCAATGTTAGACATAAACTAAAAAATATCATTTAAAAAATGGCTGAAAGGCATATTGTTATGTAGACAGTGACCTCTAGCGGCCAAAATGGCTACTACATCACCTTATTCAGTCAGTGAGTGTTCATCGTTCTCCTGCGTGCAGGGAGGAGCCAATCAGATGTTGGATATAAGTTGTGTTAATATTTTTGCCAAAGGGAAAAACTGTTGAAACTTGTAAAGCCTAAATTAAGTTTTATTTCCCGTAAGGGCTGTGTCCTCCACCTCCTCTACCCTCTCCTCCTTCTCCTCCTTGTCCTCCTCCTCGAAGGGGGAGGATTTTCATCGTTTGTCTTTTCTATTTTTGTCAGAATATCCGTTGTCCAGTCATCTATAGTCCCATTGTACTCATAACCTTCGCTAACAACACAATGTTCCTGCTTTTTCCTTCTCCTTTCATTGTTCCATTCCTTATTGCCTGTTTTCATCCATCCGTCTCTCACCCACCCTCATGCAGCACTGCAGGGTACAGGTAAGTACTGCTTTTCTAAACTTTTGTCCCCTCCCTCGCCCACCCCCCATCCTGTCTCACAGCATGTTGCTTTACTCACTGTTTTATTGTTGCTTGAAGATCACATCATCTGTGTGTCACAAAACACTGAAAAAAAATCATTCTTTGTTCATCAAAAACCCTTTTACTCGATATTTGACTCTTTTTTTATGTTTCCCACTTTGGTTACTTCACTGGTCTGGTTTCTCATTCGTTGCCCCATCTATCATCTGCTAGGAATGATCGATGCCATCTGACATGTGGAGTATTAGTCAGGCTTGGCTTGCCAGAGGCTATGCATTCTTGACCTGAATAGAATTGTTGAGTGCAGAGAGGTCTGAACTGAGCACTGAACTGAAAAGTTATACACACCTGGATCTGAGATAAAAAAAAACCCAGTGGCTGATGTAATTTATTTATAAATTTCAATTTTTCATTTTCTTCCAACTCCCCCTAGTGGAGAACTTTGTCAAAAGTGAATAGCAATTTTTTGAATTGTTACAATTTCTACAAAACTGCCAGGGGGCGCTGTAAACAAGTGTGGGAACCACTTGGTTGACAAATTCAGTTAGTAAAGTGAGCATGCGATTCACATGAATTCATCACAACACCTTTAAGATTTAATGACACCTGCAATGGAACTAACCACTATGTTCTGTGTCATTGTGATTGTTTGGTTCAGTAAATATTTGTCACCGTGTGTATGGTCATCTTAATCACACTGTTAATGTTGAGAGGAGTGCTAAGCATCAAAATCTCATCTTGAATGTTTGTCTCACCTCAGTCATTGTTGGTTGTGTGTCTCTCTGCAGGCCCAGCGTCATGTCACAGACCTGTATGAAGACCTTCGAGATGGACATAACCTGATCTCTCTGTTGGAGGTCCTGTCTGGGGAGACACTGGTGAGTGGCACCATGACATCATGGGTCTTTGCTCATCAGTTTGCGTGGTTTATCTTCTCATCCTAATCCTGGTTGTAAACAGTAGACCATACATATCCAAACCAGTCAGAGGCTCAAGTTGAACAACACTGATCCACTAGTCTGCCATCTGTGTTGTTCAATATCAGGATCACGGTCCTGTTCTGTCGTCTAAACACCACCATTTCTCCAGCCGTCGTTCATGTTCTTCCCTCTCTTCGCTCTCTTTTCACCATCCTCAGCCGTGCCCTAACACCTCCACCGCTTCAGCACATTGACCTCAACTTGACCTGTTTGTGTGTATTGGTGTGTGTCGAGTGTATTTAACTTCTTCCTGATCTTTGCATCTTCTTTCTTCTCTTCCAAACCTCCCTCTCTCTCCCTTCCTCCCTCCCTCTGTCTCTCTCTTTTGCCTTTCTTTAACCTTCCTCCTTGTGTGTGCATCTTTGCCGTCTGGCCGTCGTCTCCCCCCTGTGCCCACCGCATGGCTGGGCTAGACAAGGGAGAGACACATGGCCAGGAGTGTTCAGTTGGTGAGTGGGTTTGTATCTTAGTCAGATTATTATTAAACCTTCTCCATACTTTTCTACTTTTTTAGCCACTCGTGCTAGTCATAATTATTTTGCACATTTCTTTTTCTTTCTCTTTTTCTTGCTCATTGACCAGCCTCATAGCTTCTACACACATCCTCTGTGGTACTTCTACATACAGTACACAATACAGTATTTTTTTTCTTCCCGTGACAAATACTTTATTGGTTCCTCAGTTGATTTGCATTAATTTGAAATTCAAATGAAAACGGGGCGTTATGCAGCACAGTTGTCAGATGACTGATGAATAATGCTAAATTGTGTTAGTGGTTCATTATGGTGGACCATGCTCACCATCTTATAACAGCATCATATTTTCCACCCACATTTTAACATGAACACTGTATTTTTGTTTAGTTTTAGTATTTAGATTAGTATATGTTCCATTTTTTGACTTTTTTTACTTACCATCATGAAGTCATTAACTGTTATTTTCTTTACCTCCTTTACAGCCAAGAGAAAAAGGACGCATGCGATTCCATAAACTGCAAAATGTACAAATTGCACTGGACTTCCTCAGACACCGGCAGGTGAGAAGAAGATACAAAGTGACAGTCTGTCTGGTCTACAGTGATCTGACTGCTGCTCAGGCAGCAGCTAACTGTATTAAAATGCAGCTCTGAACTTTGTATAGTTAAAACACCATGGATTGTATATATCTGTTAACCCTGAACACGGTATGACCTTCAGTTGATTTTGTTTTTCCAGGTCAAGCTGGTGAACATCAGAAATGATGACATCGCAGACGGGAACCCCAAGCTAACCCTGGGGTTGATATGGACCATCATCCTCCACTTCCAGGTCTCCTCCTCTGTCAGTGTTGTGTTCCATTTTATTATTATCGCCCTCTACCTCTGTTTCTGGGATCTACACCTGTCAGCTGCCATTTCACCCTGGATCAACCCAATGGAATCTTCAGAAATCTGCCTCTAAAAATTACTTTAGTTTTAATCAAACGTTGATCATTCTGACCCATGTTCTCCGAGACGTTTAACAGTGTCATAACAGACTAACACCACAGAAGAGTATTTAGTGTCAGGTATGACAGTAAGGAGAAAACGAATACCGTGAAGGGTGTGTAAGTATGAGTCACTCTGATTTTGTTTCCTTTATTAATGAACATGCGATCTCTCAGATTGGGGTCAGCCAGTCTGACTCAGACTAAAGCTCAGCACAATTATTTATTTTTCTGAAAATAAAATCAAATAGTTAAGCTCTCAAAAGGAAATTAAACATTCTTGAATAATGCCAGGAACATTGCAGTAGAACGGTACTGCAGCTGCCAAAATTCAGAAAAGTTAAGCATCAGTTTGACTGCCTGCCTGTCTTGGCCACACCCGGACTTATCTGATTATTCAGGGTAAACAAGGAAAAAATAAATAATGGTATTTTGGTCAGATGATCTCCTGAAAGATCCTTTATTACCTGATGATATAGGCTACTATGTTCCAAAAGTCCTTTTGAGCAGAGGTCTAAGGGAGTGTTGGTGAGTCATCGGGACAAAGTCTTTAATACCAGTCATCCTTAATTGTTTACTATAACTAAGAGCACTTCAGTGAAATAAGAGTGAAGACGGGGAATAAACTCCAGATGATCTGGAAGGGATGTTGCTGGTGGGCGTGTCACAGCAATTTCAAAACATTGCCACATCCTTCCTTCGCAAACTTTGCAAAAAATCTGTATGCAAGAAAATTTCCTGTGCTTACTGAGAGCTGCAGGGCAGACGGTATTTCAGGGAAGGAGAAGGTGCAGCGGTGTTTGTGCAGATGTTAACTGCACCTGACCTGTAAGCAAAACCTTAATCAAGAGACTCAAGAGTCTATGGATCTTAAAGAAAAAATCATCAGTATTTATGTGGGAATAAATAAACTGGCACAGATCAATGTGAATCAATGACAATTTTAATAATTCACAAACTAATGATTGTAATAAACTCACAATATAAACTCAACCTTGGTGAAAAGTAATTTCCCCCAAATGACATCTTTTGGTTTCCACTAATGACTAATGTTTCCTCGTTCCTTCAGCGTACATGCTCCACTGTGACCTTCATGCCTCTCTGTTGACCTGTCCATTTCTTCCCAATCTCAGATCTCAGACATCCAGGTGAACGGTCAGTCAGAGGACATGACCGCCAAGGAGAAGCTGCTCTTCTGGTCTCAGAGGATGACCGATGGCTACCAAGGCCTCCGCTGTGACAACTTCTCCACCAGCTGGAGGGACGGCAAACTCTTCAACGCCGTCATCCACAAGCACTAGTGAGTGGAGACAGTTTGATGCTGGTTAATCTGTCCTGTACCACTGCTGGTCAATCCACAGCCACCTGTGGTTATTCAGATTCACATTTCTAAACGATTGACAGCCTTTATTTATATACAGTACATAAATGTGTGTGAGGTTTTTGTCACTTCAGGTGATTAACTCCAATAGGGTCTCACTACCCCAGCCAACAGTACTCTTGAGTTTGTTTATTTACCAAAATGCAAATGTAAGGTTTCATTTTGTGTGTTGCTTGACATTTAAAAAGCAACTTTTAAAATGTCTTAAGCATTATTTATTTTAGTTAAAAACTGAGAACTATATTATTTATGACAAAGTTAGCACATTAAAAATCTGCAATTGAGTACAGAACTCAGACCTAGGTTTATTAGGCCAAAGGACAAACAAACTACTGTCACTTCTGCTTCTTTTTTTTTATTTGACTTAAATTGATACCAAAACATGTAACTAACAAGCCAGCCTACTGAGGAACCTTCTAGAACTTTCCTTGTTTTTGCTGTGATTTCACAGTACTATTACTTTTATGGGATTACGAGCTAATGATAGGTTTCTGGGAAATAAATGTGCGTCTATTTCTCAGGAAGAATTTCCAAAACAGCTTGGCTCTGGGGGCTTATTGTTGTCAATGCAACAACACAGTGACTCATGCAGACTCCTCAAAGCAAACAGGAGAGAGGCGGCACTGGATGAGAGAAAATTAAATGCCCTGTGCAATGTTTTCCTGTGGATATATAATATAACGTGAATGAAAGAGATACCTGCAGGGGCAGGTTCCTGAAACCTGAGCTCGTACCTGCACCTTTTTTAAAAAAGAATTTTCTCCTGGAGTCACATGTGACCACATTAATGTCAGGGTGTGGTATGTAGGCGGTACTGCAGCTGTAGCTTTCTACTGTATGCTTGCTACATTAAAGAGTGTGCTGCTGGCTTCCTGAATATGCATTTGGACAGAAGTATTGGTCCAGGTTTTTACCAGTACTCAGCGACTGATGCTTTTTAAAGAAGCTAATTGGCTTGTACATCTCAGCAGAAGGATGAACAGGATTCACACACAGTGATGGACGATGGATTTTTATGCTGTTTGGTCAGATGATGGCACCGTTAATAATAAATGCTGACCTAATTTCTTTGGAACTGTAACTGGACCAGGCTTCTCCTTGACTGATTCAAAGATGCTCAGCGTAAGGAAGAAATCTAAGAGTAGAAAAGGAAGCGTGGGCTTCACTGACAGCACGTCAGGGTCTGTCAGCAACGTCAACAACCGTGTGATCATGGTTTGTGAGGACATTCCATCAGAAGGATCCTCCTGGGACTCCGGCTGGGGTTCACACAGCTCTGGGGCTCGTTCCAGTTCTGACGAACTGGGTCAGCGGTGGAGGTCACCAAACATCAATGGAAGAGATGTCCAGAGCATTAGCAGCTCCCCTAAGCCACCTAAGCACTATTTTGTCCGGGAAGTAAAGCATTTGGAGTCCTCACCGGTTTATGGCCACAGTGGAGCTCAACTACTCATCAGAGACTAGTATGAACGAACAGATGTTTTTTCAATTGATTTTTAAAGGTGAAAAAAGGGTCGCTTTAGGTTATAGCATTGAATATTGATGCGTGATAAATGGTTTTCTGTGATGCGTAAACACAGCCGTCTTTGGCTGCTCTCTGTAGACATGAACGCTCGTCTTCTTCAAGTTGTGGCTGGCTGCTGACTAAAGATGCGTCAGGCCTGATTATATGAGCTGCTTCCAAATGCATTCCATCCATAAATGGTTCTGATGTTTGATAGATTCAAACACCCAGAGGACAGGATAAAGACAGGTGCTGGCACAGGTTTGTTAGAGACCAAACATGTGGACTCTGTCAGTAACTCAGCAAGCCAACACAGACGGGTGAATAGGTGGTTGTGTGACCAAACCTCTGACCCTCAGCAGGATGGACAGGACATGTTGAAAATGACTGTGGATAATGGTGTCATTCTTTCTGTTCTTTCAGCCCCAGACTTATCGACATGGGCAAAGTGTACAGACAGACCAATGTGGAGAACCTGGAACAGGCCTTCAGTGTGGCTGAAAGAGACCTGGGGGTGACACGCCTGCTGGATCCTGAGGGTAGGTTCCCCAAACAACACATACATTATAGCACTGATCTATGCAGAAATGGTCCGAACAATCTCAGGTAGTGTTTGACTTTGTCAAAAAAGAAAAGTGCAATAATTTCAATGGGAATCATTGTCGTAGAAATTTCTAGGTTTATGTTTAACTACAATTCAAAAGAACAAATTTACAACTTTTGTAGTTTGTAATAATAAAACAATGTTTAGTAAGTTGAGGGTCATTTCCCCCGCCACTAGGTTGCTATAGCAACCAAACAGAAAACTGTCATTCCCACATACTAGGCCATAACTCATACTCATCTAGGTAAGGAATATCTTCACAACTGTGTTCAAAGGTCATCACAGTCCCCAGGCTGGTCTTTGGACATCACTTCAAACCAGTGTGTTGTTTATTATATGTTACCTTGATGACGAATGTCATACCAGCTGTAAACCTCTACTGTGACCTGTTTTTGTTAGTTTATTTGTTTATAAATCGTCCAGCACTAGTTTACTCCAGTATTTTTGTTTACTTTCTACACAACAAACTGTTTTTGCTGTTGACCATGAAATGGTAAAGTGTTATTTTCATCCTTTCAGATGTGGACGTCCCTCACCCCGATGAGAAGTCCATCATTACCTATGTTTCATCCTTGTATGATGTCATGCCTCGGATGGACACTCACGATGGTGTTAGAACAAACGTAAGCACTCGGTGAATGAATCGTGTCATTCATTCTGCATTTATTATTTACTATTTATTTACTAAACCTCACACCATTTGGTTGTTTTTTTCTTTGTTGTCTTGTGTTTTAATGTGTTTTTTAGTACCAGTATTTACTGTAATCTCATATGGTAGGTGACTTATGTCACCTACTGTTTTACTCCCACAGTCTTTATCTTCCCTGCTGCCTGGCGCCTTGTTCATTCACACAAGTCTTGTATTGTTGCTGCCTAATTGAGTGTGGTGTGTGAGGGGATCCAACATGGAGGCAGAGTAGAAGAAGACTCCTTATGTCTGCATTTTTGTTTTTGTAAGATTTAAATGTTCTTTTCTGCTGCGTCGGCTGCAGGAGCTGGAGCTGCGCTGGCAGGAGTATTACGAGCTGGTGACCATCCTGCTCCAGTGGATCCGCCACCATGTCATGATCTTCGAGGAGAGGAAGTTCCCAGCCAGCTACGAGGAGATAGAGGTGAGCTGATGTGCTAAATTTTACATTGTTATGGCTCCAGGCTGCTAATTACCAGCTGCTAATATCGCTGCTACGAAGCTCCACCTTAATATCGTGAGCTCAGCATCCATTCATCAGTGGATCAAAGAAAAGACTGTTTGACCTCGGAATAATCGAGAAGAATAAAGTGTATTCAGAGTGTTCTGTGTTCAAGGTGGGGCAGACCTGAAGAGGAAGAAAACACAGCCAGAAGCACATAATGTGCGACTTAATCCTCAGGAGAATTTCCAGCTGCCACTCCCAGTCAGTGGTACAGAATAAAAGCAGAACTGACTCCAGTAGTTTTCCTAAATCTCTCCAAAGTCATATCATCAGCACTTGAATTGGCATTGTCCAAATCTGCCTCAATTCTGGACCTGAAAAACACTAAAACATGATTTTTGAGCATTGATGATTGCAGCTTATTTTAGTGATTCTCAAATTATGGGGTGTGTACCTTTGAAACTTTGGGACTGTCTAGTTTTATGCTGTAGTAAGTGCAAGGGGAACCAAACCCTGGTCCAGATCAGACCAGGTTTTGGACACATATCAGTTACTGTAACTGAGTTCTTATTTGTGTTTCCTTTAGCTTTTGTGGCGCCAATTCTTGAAGTTCAAAGAGACCGAGCTGCCAGTGAAGGAGTCTGAAAAGAACCACTCCAAACACGTCTACCAGTCCTTTGAGGCAAGCTGACACTGATCCACTCTTTGAATTCTTTTATATCCAAACTGTTTTCAGAAAGACAAATTACTTATAAATTCTGATCTTCTTCCATCTGGCTGCAGAGTGCTGTGCATGCTGGTCAGGTGAAGGTCCCACCAGGGTACCATCCCATCGATGTGGAGAAAGAATGGGGTCGACTCCATGTTGCCATCCTGGAGAGAGAGCGACTGCTGAGAACAGAGTTTGAGAGGTCAGGACAGTTCATATAATACTCCACTATTAAAAAAACTGTATTTATTTAAAAAATATATATAAAAAATATATTATAATATATTTATAAAATCTTGATAATATTTCATCATGTAAAATTACCTTTGAAACTAAAACTACATTTTAACTAATTTATTTATTTTCACAATGTCAATGGCCTTTAAAATTTTACAAATAATGAATGAATTTTATGATTAAATATGATTGAATGTGTTTAGACTGAAGGGGAGCAAATGTAGAGAAATGGCTTTGTCATTTTTGTTTAAATGTAATATTTTAAATTGTGTCAGAAGGATAGAAAGATAGATAGATAGATATGTTTTTTAAATCTTACATTTATGGCACAAATAAATTTTAATTAATTTTTAAAATCATGGTAAAATAAAATCATGGAAATATATATATATATATTTATATATATATATCCATATCCTGCCTACTAGCCAGCAAACATTCTTCTAGCAAGATGCCAACATCTGATTGGCTGTTGCCTTCATTTTTTCCCCTCCTATTTACATGATAAATTCATCCCTGCTTTAGCTCCAATTCTCAATGTATTTATGGTCCTGGAATAGAATGTCTTTAACTAAGTTTTAAACCCACAAGACTGAAGCTTCCTTACTTCTGAATACCTGGTGAAACGTCTATGTAATAAATCTCTATAGTATTGGCCAAATAACTTAGTTATGTGTCGTTGGGTAATCTGCTTTCCCATGATGCAGCCAGCTGCTGTGTTATATTTTTTTCTTTCTGCACTTCTGTCACGCCGAGCACATGGTGTAATTCCTGTCACAAGATTGTTTGGTCATCTAATCGTCTTGTTTACGGTTCTGGAGGAGTGCAGCGACTGAATTAGCAGATTCACTGCATGTGTTTGTTCATCTCTGCTCCTCCGACATAATGAAAAAAAAAAAAATGTCCATGAGCCATGACTCTAAGGAGTAGGTTTTATCACTCATGCTATGAAGAAAGTTTTCTGCTACGGGCTTTCTAGATGTTTTATTATTATGATTAAAACCTAAAAAAATGCTAAAGATTAATTTATTTCAAAGCCTTCTCTTGTGTTTGATATCATAGTGAAGGAACTTTTATTTTTGTGATCCAGACTCGAGAGGCTCCAGAGGATTGTCAGTAAAGTCCAGATGGAGTCTGGTTTGTGTAATGACCAGCTCAGCCACCTGGAAACTCTGCTGCAGACTGTAAGTACTACTTCTATACTGTTTATTTTTCTTTCTTTCTTTTTTTTTTTTTTGTTACATTTACATTAACGACTCTTGTCCTCCTTCTTTGCAGGACATCCGTCTGCTGAGTTCAGGGAAACCAGCTCAACACACTGCAGAAGTGGAGAGGGAGCTGGACAAGGCCGACAAAATGATCCGCCTCCTCTTCAACGATGTGCAGATACTCAAGGATGGGCGCCACCCTCAGGCTGAAGACATGTACCGCAAGTGGGTGCTGCATACATGACAACAATACATTACTACAACTACAAATTATATAAAAATTATAACTACTGTCTTACAATGAATTTCCAAGTAAATTTCAACACTACAGTCAGACATCCTGATTTCTGTGTATTGTCTACAGGGTGTTCCGCATTCACGAGCGCCTGGTGAACTTGCGCAGTGACTACAATCTACGTCTCAAGTCTGCAGTGGTTCCATCCCAGGCCAATCTGAGCAGCATTCAGCAGTCCACCACCAGGGTGCGACCTGAGATGGATGACGTCACTCTGCGCTATGTTCAAGACCTGCTGGCCTGGGTTGAGGAGAACCAGCTGCGGATCGATGAAGCCCAGTGGGGATCTGATCTTCCCTCTGTGGAGTCTCAGTTAGGCAGCCACCGAGGCTTGCACCAGACTGTGGAGGACTTCAGGTCCAAGATTGAAAGAGCCAAGGCAGATGAGGTAGAACTGCCTATCAGAGCCGGAATAATGATTTATTTGAAATCAATTTCAAATTAACTAATTTTTTTGTTTTTGTTTTTAATGCAGACACAGATTTCTCCTGTCAGCAGAGGAAACTACAAAGAATACCTGGGTAAACTGGACCTTCAGTATGGCAAACTACTGGTGAGAAGTTTTCATATGAAGTTTATCTAAAATCATCAGTGTCTCTGTGTTGAATGTTGGGAATTCTAAGATGAAATGTTATGTCTTCCAGAACTCCTCAAAGTTCCGTCTGAGGAACCTGGAGTCAATCCATGCTTTTGTCAGCGCTGCCACCAAGGAACTGATGTGGTTGAACGACAAAGAAGAGGAGGAAGTCAATTTTGACTGGAGCGACAGGAACTCCAACATGACAGCCAAAAAAGACAACTACTCTGTGGGTTTTTTTGTTTTGAATGTGTAATATTAGGTCACACGTGTTTATCTTTGGGAGGATCTGACTGACTTTTCTGTTTTAAACTCTTCAGGGTCTTATGAGAGAGCTGGAGTTGAGGGAGAAGAAGATTAATGACATCCAGACCCTGGGAGACAGACTTGTCAGGGACGGACATCCAGGCAAGAAGACTGTTGAGGTAATTGCACTGATGAGACTGTGAGAGGGCATAAAAGAAACTGCTGAGTGAGTACTAATTGTTTATTTTTTCTAAATATTGTCTACCAGGCATTTACAGCTGCCTTACAGACTCAGTGGAGCTGGATCCTTCAGCTTTGCTGCTGCATTGAAGCCCATCTCAAAGAAAACACAGCCTACTATCAGGTATGGGACTTATTTTCATCAAAAGATAATTTTGTAAATATAGCAGTATAATGTAGTATTTTAATCACTACCTCTTTTTGCAGTTCTTTGCAGATGTCAAAGATGCTCAGGACAAGATGAAAAAAATGCAGGAGAACATGAAAAAGAAATACAGCTGTGACCGCTCCACAACTGCCACGCGGCTGGAGGACCTGCTGCAGGACGCTGCGGTAAGAAATGAAGTCATGTACTCCATGTACTCCACCTTAAAAACAATCAGAATACAGCACTTTTTAAAAAATATGTTTGTCATGTAAAAATTGTTAAATTTCTCATATTTTTTTCTCCGCAGGAGGAGAGAGAGCAGCTCAATGAATTCAAGACCATGGTCACAGGCCTGAACAAACGAGCCAAGTCCATCGTCCAGCTGAAGCCACGTAACCCCACCACCTCCATCAAGGGCAAACTGCCCGTTCAGGCCGTCTGTGATTTCAAGCAACAGGAGGTAGAAAAATTAAATAAAAATAAAGAACCACCCATGTTTCATGGAAATAAACCTGAGCCCCCAACTAACTGTTTTAATAGATTATATATTTTAATGTATATATTTATGTACCATATATATATATGGTCCTATTCAAATTCCTTTGCTACTTAATGATATATTTGTGTGATGACATCACATACCTGCTCCTTAGTTTACAATCCATGTAAGTCCTGCAACGGAAGAATGGTCCTGATGACCCCCGGGTCAGAACTGGCAACTCAACGTTCTGGAAATCTCTTTGCAGATCACTGTCCATAAAGCAGATGAGTGCGCTCTCCTCAACAACTCCCAGCCATTCAAATGGAAGGTCCTGAACCACTCGGGTCACGAGGCAGTGGTGCCCTCTGTCTGCTTCATTGTTCCTCCAGTCAACAAGGAGGCTATGGACAGTGTGTCCAGGTGAGAACCAGGGAATATAGAACAGATTCACCTGTGTGGGATGTTTTCATTCTGTTTCCTACATCAACTTAAACATTAATGTTTCCTAATGCAAATGACTACTGTAGTTGTCATAGTATTTCATAGTATTCTGTATGCATCTCTGTCCTCTGTCCTGTCCAGTCTGGACGCAGCTCATCAGCAGATGGTTTCCATGTGGCAGTTGCTCCACATCGACATGAAGAGTCTGTTGTCGTGGCAGTACCTGATGAGAGACTTTACACAGATTCATTCTTGGAACATCACCATGGTGAGTAGTTAGGGCAATACATTAATGTTAGTATTGGAAAGTACTAATACTATAATAATACTTCAAAAAACGAATGAGTTAAACTGTCTTAAATTCAACTTTATTAGAAAATTTACATTACATTAATATTCTTTAAGGGAACGGTCTTCAACAAGGGGTCCACTATCTTTTAGTGGTAAATGTACGAATAGATTTGTATAATGCAAAAAGATCAAGAATGTACGAATAGATTTGTATAATGCAAAAGATCAAGAAATGTTTACATGTGGCACCAGGTCCAGTTTAATATAAAATAACAAAAATACATTCTACATATATTGTACATTTATTATCCATATATTTGCCTGAAATATTTTGAAGACCCCGATTTTAAAGTGTTGTCATTAGTGCAGTTACTAAAGGGACCATGATCCCTGACTTAAAGCACACACATTAATTAAGTCTTTGATTCACTTCTCAATCCTGTCCAGTTAAAGACCATGAAACCAGAAGAATACCGGCTGCTGATGAGGAACCTGGAGCTCCACTATCAGGACTTCATGCGTGACAGTCAGGACTCCCAGCTGTTCGGTGCCGATGACCGCATGCAGGTGGAGGGTGACTACAACAAGTCTACGCAGCATTTCAACAACCTGCTTCGCTCCATGGAGAAAGGTGAGCTGGGTTCTCCACTGAGCAAACAGAGGCTTTGGATTATTTTCAAAATGTGCCGAGAACATTTTGTCACCTCTCTAATGTCAATTACCTTTCAGGCCAAATGGTTGTTAACCTCAAGGGTGAGTGAGAAAGGGCTGAACAGAGCTGCTGTGTGGACATGTTTCAGGCCTTAGAAAAGCTCTAGTCCTAGAGTAAAGACAACAGTCTCTTTGACAGCATGATGGTTTTTTGGCACATCTGCACCAAACAAGACAACAAAGGTGTTTTGTGTTAAGCTACAGTTTGCACTGCTTTTGTCATGCGACTATATTATAGTAGTGGTTTCCACATCATTTATTGCTTCATAGTTTATTCCAATAATTAAGTGCATATAGAGCTGAGTGTGTTTTCACCACAGCCGACAACAACTGCATGTACAGCCAGGCTTCAGAATGATGTCATCAAACACATGACATGTAATGTGTCATGAACACAAAACACCTACTTCAACTGTTTTAATTCTTTTTCAACAGGTCTAGATTCCTGACCTCTCTGTGAGCAGAGTTATGAGGGGCTTTAAATGTATTGAACAATTATGTATGTTTGCCCCGCAGGTCAACAGGACGAGACACTGTGTAAGAACTACATCTCTGAGATCAAGGACCTGCGTCTGCAAATCGAGAACTGTGAGGCCCGGACTGTGGAACGCATACGCAGACCCATAGAGAAGGAGCCTCTGAAAGAATGTGTTCAGAAAACAACAGAACAGAAAGTAGGTCACAGGCGCACACACAGACACACACATATATACTGTGTAAATATGGATTTAAATTTTTATATATAATATAAAGTAAAATGAGTTAAATTATTTTATGAATATTTTATAAAGACTGGATATGGAATAAAAAGTAACATAAAATTATTTTTCTCACCCATTATATTTTAGTGCGGTCATATAAACTTGTATACACTCTCAACCCTCCTCACCACTGCTGCTGCCGTTTGATCCACAGATGCTCCAGAGTTAGAATTCTAGCTGCGCTTCTCGCTCTGAACTCATCTTTGTGTCAAATTCAAAAATCCTCCTCCATCACAGTAAAAATCAATTGCTTTCCAGTTTGAGCCGTTTGTCAGTTGTTCAGTGTTTTTTCCGTCTCCTCTCTCGTGCAGAAAGTCCAGGTGGAGCTGGAGGGCCTGAAGAAAGACCTGGACAAGGTCACTGTGAGGACAGAGGGAGTCTTGTCCTCAGCCCAGCAGCCGGCCTCTGCTCCTGTGCTGCGTTCAGAGCTCGACCTGACCGTGCAGAAGATGGACCACGCCCACATGCTCTCCTCCATTTACCTGGAGAAGTGAGTCAGCGATCTTTTGCGTCTAAGGGAATGTTTTCTCTTTTCCATCGGTCATGTTACTAACTTGATCATTCTCTAGGCTGAAAACAGTGGAAATGGTCATCCGCAACACCCAGGGTGCTGAGGGTGTTCTCAAGCAGTACGAAGACTGTCTGCGTGAGGTTCACACTGTCCCCAGTGACGTCAAGGAGGTGGAGAATTATAGGGCAAAGCTGAAGGTAAACCCCATACAGTTACTGTGTGTAATAGAAAATGCAATCTATAGTTAGATACTTTTTGGGTAATATAAAATAATAAAAAAAGGTTTTGACAATGCTTGTTTTGTGTTTCTTTTCACAGAAAATGCGGGTGGAGGCTGAGAATGAACAGCCAGTGTTCGATTCCATGGAGGAAGAGCTGAGGAAAGCCTCCGCTGTGAGCAACAAGATGTCCCGCGTGCACAGCGAGCGTGACGTGGAGCTGGACCACTATCGCCAGCTCCTGTCCGGACTCCAAGACCGCTGGAAGGCTGTCTTCACCCAGATCGACCTCCGTCAGAGAGAGCTGGATCAGCTCGGCCGTCAGCTGGGCTACTACCGCGAGAGCTACGATTGGCTGATCCAGTGGATCTCTGAGGCCAAGAAGAGGCAAGAGAAGATCCAAGCTGTACCCATCACCGACAGCAAAACTCTGAAAGAGCAGCTTGCTCAGGAAAAGGTGTGTTTATTTGAACAAAATGTTCAAAATCTCAACTATAAAGAAACTGTTAAAACTTCAATAAATGTATTTCTTTACAGAAACTGTTGGAAGAAATTGAGAAGAACAAGGACAGAGTGGATGAATGCCAAAAATATGCCAAAGCATACATTGATACTATTAAGGTCCTTATTTTATACTTGTAATACCTTCTTAAATGTTGTCGCACATTACTAACTGTTTAAGGCTGCTTCTTTATTAAATAGGACTATGAACTCCAGCTTGTTGCCTACAAAGCTCAGGTTGAGCCTCTGGCTGCTCCCATGAAGAAAACCAAACTGGACTCAGCCTCCGACAACATTATTCAGGAGGTACGATATTCCCACAGTTAATGAAGAATATTTCCCCAACCCTGGTTATGGATTTCAACTCTGTCTCTTTCTCCCTTTATCAGTATGTAACCCTGAGGACTAAGTACAGCGAGCTAATGACGCTGACGAGTCAGTACATTAAGTTCATCACTGACACGCAGCGCCGCCTGGAGGACGAGGAGGTGCGTGAAAACTGTCTGAGGGTCCCAAACAAACTAAACTCTAACACAAAGCTAACAGTCAAAGCAAATAACCGACCGAACCACCGAGCATTTTACCGCCGATCACTGCAACGCACGCATGCACTCACACAGTTCCCCAAAAAAAAAAAAAAAACACACATCCATATATTTTAATGTACGGGTGACAAAATAGTCCCTTTGCACTAGTTACGCAGAAAACATTGGCATGCTGTAGCTGGAAAATATAGTTCAGGACATATTTTATGGTGCGAGCAGCACAGACAACATCAACACAAATGAACGGATTGAATAAGAAATAAACATGTTGCCATTTGTGTGTAAACAGCTTCAGCTGTTTCATTCCCATTCATCGTGTGTATTCTGTGCATCCCAGTTTTTTTAAAGGGGTTCTTTCTTTCACTTGTTTGGATTTTCCTTTTCTTACTTATCCTTCTGCCCAAAGTTAAACTCAAACCCACAAATGTTTGTCATGGTCTCCAACTCTCCTTTTTCCCCACTCTCTAAATTAACAGTTTTCTGTTATATTCTAACCCTAATTGTTTGGTTTGTTTCTTTGCTTTTCTTAACTGCTTGCCAGTGCTTTCCCATGATGAGCGCTTAACTTGTTTGATCTTAAAGAGGTAAATCTTTCACTGTTCTACACGTATCTCACCTCTCGTATCGCTTCTGTGTTTTGCCTTTTGCATCTTTTGCTGTCACTTTACTTCAACTGTCCTGAGTCTCTTTCAGGCACTTCTACATCATACATTTTCTTTATTCTTTCATAACAGCCTCATTATCTATATGGTCTTGTGGTCACTAACTTTTCTTCATATTTTTATTGTGCTTTTAATAACACTGAACATTGATATAAACTGAAACTTTTACTCATGACATTTTCCTTTCCTCTCCCTTTCTATTTTGTGGAACAACTAGTGATTTAAAGAACCCCAAGTGCATGGGTTTCAAATAAAAACATGTCATTTGAGTGGCGTGAATAACGTTGGAAAAGTATACGCTTATTCTATATGTAAAAAATAACTACAAAATTTAACATGTAGTTTTATGAAACATTAGAATACTGTGCACCTAGAGCTTTTTGCTGAAAAAAAAATTTATTTATTTATGTGACAAAATATATTATAAAATATCTGGTTTAATAATACTACATATATAGCTGCAGCTGCATGCCATATGACTTTCTTGCTGTGTGTGAAGTGAAATTTTGTATCCATACATTAATCATCATCATCATCATCATCATCATCATCATCATCATAATACTTTTCCCGCCAAATTGTCTTGTCATTAATTGTTTTTGATTGCATTGTGAATTTAACATCACTGTCATGTTTGTGTATCTAATTTGCATCACGTGAATGATCCTTGAGCTAATTTTAACATTAACATTATCTGGGTAATACAGAGCATTAAGGTGCTCCAGTGTGATTAAACTGTAATTACTCCAGTAATTACAAATCTTAATCCACACTGTTTTGAGCTAATTAATGCCAAGTGTTACCTTTAATCTATCATGCTTGATTATAATCCTTTCTTTACAATTTGCTTCCACTAATGCAGAAAGCTGCAGAGAAACTCAAAGCGGAAGAGCAGAAAAAAATGGCCGAGATGCAGGCTGAGTTAGACAAACAAAAGCAGTTAGCTGAAGCTCACGCAAAGGCTATTGCCAAAGCAGAAAAAGAGGCTCGCGAGCTGAAAATCAAAATGCAAGAAGAAGTGAGCAGACGAGAAGTTGCTGCTGTAGATGCGGAAAAACAAAAACACAACATCCAGTTGGAACTGCATGAGCTGAAAAACATCTCAGAACAACAGATCAAGGACAAAAGTCTGCAGGTGGATGAGGCTCTTCAGAGCCGGGCCAAGATTGAGGAGGAAATCCACATCATTAGGATCCAGCTTGAATCAACAGAAAGGCAAAAGTACAATGCAGAATCTGAGCTTAAGCAACTCCGTGATAGAGCAGCTGAGGCTGAGAGACTTAGAAAGGCCGCCCAGGAAGAAGCCGAGAAGCTCCGCAGACAAGTCAGCGAAGAAACCCAGAAAAAACGCATGGCAGAGGAGGAACTCAAACGCAAGGCTGAGGCAGAAAAGGAAGCTGCACGCCAAAAGCAAAAGGCCTTGGAAGATCTTGAAGATCTGAGGAGGCAGGCAGAGGAGGCAGCTAGGCGGGTAAAGCAAGCTGAAATTGAGAAAGAAAGACAAATTGTTGTCGCTCAAGAGCTAGCACAGAAGAGTGCTGCCGCTGAGCTCCAGAGCAGCCAAATCTCCTTTGTGGAAAAAACATCCCAGTTAGAGGAATCCCTCAAACAAGAACATGGGGCAGTCCTTCAACTGCAGCAACAAGCCACACACCTGAAGAAACAACAGGAAGATGCAGAAAGAGCCAGGGATGATGCTGAAAAGGAACTTGAAAAATGGAGGCAGAAAGCCAATGAAGCTCTTCGTCTCAGACTTCAGGCTGAAGAAGAAGCTCACCATAAAAGCCTCGCTCAGGATGAAGCCGAGAAACAAAAGGAAGAAGCTGAGCGCGAAGCAAAGAAGAGGACCAAAGCTGAGGAGTCAGCCCTGAAGCAAAAAGATATGGCTGAGAAAGAGCTGGAGAGGCAAAGAAAACTGGCCGAGAGCACAGCCCAGCAGAAATTCAACGCTGAACAGGAATTGATTCGGCTGAGGGCCGACTTTGACAACGCAGAACAGCAGAGGACCCTGCTTGAAGATGAACTTTATCGCCTGAAGAATGAAGTCATCGCAGCTGAACAGCAAAGGAAACTTCTTGAGGATGAACTGGCCAAAGTAAGGAGCGAAATGGACATTCTTATCCAAATGAAATCCAAGGCAGAAAAAGAGACAATGTCCAATACAGAGAAGAGCAAGCAACTCCTTGAGGTAGAGGCTGCAAAGATGAAGGACCTGGCTGATGAGGCCAGCAAGCTCAGAGCAATTGCAGAGGAGGCCAAGCACCAGCGACAAGTGGCTGAAGAAGAGGCGGCTCGTCAGCGGGCAGAGGCAGAGAGGATTCTCAAAGAGAAGCTGGCTGCAATTAGTGACGCCACACGTTTAAAAACGGAGGCTGAAATCGCCTTGAAGGAAAAGGAGGCAGAGAATGAGAGACTTCGCCGACAAGCTGAAGATGAGGCCTACCAGAGGAAATCACTTGAGGACCAGGCAAATCAGCACAAGCAAGAAATAGAGGAGAAGATAATTCTACTCAAGAAATCGTCTGAGGCTGAAATGGAAAGACAGAAGGCAATTGTCGATGACACACTAAAACAAAGGAGAATTGTGGAAGAAGAAATACGAATTCTAAAGCTCAACTTTGAGAAGGCTTCATCTGGAAAACTTGACCTGGAACTAGAATTGAACAAACTGAAAAACATTGCAGAGGAAACTCAGCAAAGCAAGCTTAGAGCAGAGGAGGAGGCCGAGAAACATCGAAAACTTGCCCTCGAGGAGGAGAAGAAGAGGAGGGAAGCTGAGGAGAAGGTGAAGAAGATTGCAGCCGCTGAGGAAGAGGCAGCCAGACAGCGCAAGGCTGCCCAGGATGAGCTCGATCGACTAAAGAAAAAAGCAGAAGAAGCCCGGATGCAAAAGGAAGAGGCCGACAAAGAAGCTGAAAATCATATTGTTGCAGCCCAGCAGGCGTCCCTGAAGTGCAGTGTAGCTGAGCAGCAGGTCCAAAATGTTCTTGCTCAACAGAAAGAAGACAGTCTTGTGCTGCATAAGCTTAAGGAGGAGTATGAGAAGGCCAAAAAGCTCGCCAAAGAAGCAGAGTCCGCAAAGGAGAAAGCAGAGACAGAAGCAGCTCTCCTTCGTCAACAAGCAGAGGATGCAGAAAAACAAAAATTAGCTGCAGAGGAGGAAGCCTCAAACCAGGCCAAAGCTCAGGAAGATGCTGAAAGACTGAGGAAAGAGGCCGAATTTGAAGCTGCCAAAAGAGCACAGGCTGAAGCATCAGCACTCAAGCAGAAACAGCAGGCCGATACAGAAATGACAAAGCACAAGAAACTAGCAGAGCAGACCTTAAAACAAAAGTTCCAGGTAGAGCAAGAACTGACCAAGGTTAAACTTCAGCTTGATGACACTGACAAGCAGAAATCTGTCCTTGATAATGAACTGCTGCGCTTGAAAGATGAGGTTGATGATGCTGTTAAACAAAGAGCCCAAGTGGAGGAAGAACTTTTCAAAGTCAAGGTTCAAATGGAAGAACTGCTCAAACTCAAGAACAGAATCGAGGAGGAAAATCAGCGTCTGATCAAGAAAGACAAAGACAACACACAGAAGTTCCTGGAAGAAGAGGCTGAAAACATGAAGAAGCTTGCTGAAGATGCTGCCAGGCTTAGCGTAGAAGCCCAAGAAGCTGCGCGGTTGAGACAGATTGCAGAGGACGATCTCAATCAGCAAAGAGCTCTTGCAGAGAAAATGCTTAAGGAAAAAATGCAGGCCATTCAGGAGGCATCAAGGCTCAAAGCTGAAGCAGAAATGCTCCAGAAGCAGAAAGAACTGGCACAGGAGCAGGCCCAAAAACTGCTGGAGGATAAACAGCTCATGCAGCAGCGTCTGGAAGAGGAAACAGAGGAGTACCAGAAATCGCTCGAAGCAGAAAGGATGAGGCAGTTGGAGATCATAGCCGAATCAGAAAGACTCAAACTTCAGGTTACTCAGCTCAGTGAAGCCCAGGCCAAGGCAGAAGAGGAGGCTAAAAAATTCAAGAAACAAGCCGACACAATCGCTGCCCGACTCCACGAGACAGAAGTATCCACCAAAGAAAAACTGACAGTGGTGGAAAAACTGGAAGTGGACAGACTTACTTGCAGCAAAGAGGCAGACGATATGCGCGAAGCAATTGCAGAACTAGAGAAAGAGAAGGCTAGACTGAAAAAGGAGGCCGAAGAACTTCAAAATAAGTCTAAAGAGGTATTGTGTCAAAGATGGCATAACAAAGCAGCTTATGTCATTGTAAAAATCTATCTGAAAACTAACACACCTTTCTTCAATTTCCTCTATCCCCTTCTCTGTTAATACTAATCATCCAAACCATATCTTTGATTATGATTTTAATCTATTTTTAATTTACAGTGCACTGTGCTCATGCATATCCCATCATGAATGTCTCCCCGTGTCCTGGAATGTTTTTCGCTGTTCTATGACATGCTTCATACTTCTTTTCAGTTTTTCTTTTACAAATTTTGTTTCAGTTAAGGTGAAAACAATAAATAAAACAAAAGCAGTAATGCATCATAGTGCTGAAATAATAATATTAATTTAGCTCTAGAGTATCTGTAACAATAAACAACCTCCGTTTAATCTTAATCTCACACATAATGACACTGACCAGTTTTATGTGACTCCCACTTCTTTTCAATAGTTAGTTATGGTTTAACATGTCATTAAATAAACCCAATGGCGATATCCATTTAATTCCAGCATTAAGCGCTTCTGTTAGTGTTTCACAGGTGCTGTCATTGTCAATGGTAAGATGATACTGTTTATGATCCAACACAGCCAGAGCAGTAACGTCCAAACCAAAAAGATCTATTTGTCCATTTGTAAATGCAAACATTTAGCGGTTGAATGAATTAATTTACAAATGAACCTTGCCTTTAGCTTTTAACAACTAAACCAAGTGACGTAGGAAATCATGTTTATTTTGTACATCTATACCTAATGAGTTAGAAACCAGGTTTATTATTGTTACTGAAGAATGTGTCAAAAAGTTCTTGAGGACACAGTTGGTCTGAACTAAGAAACTTGACATTCAGAGAACCTAGTCTTTGCAGATAATTTTGTAGTTAAACATTATTAACAGGCATCAAACTCAAAAATGCTTGTCCCAGTCTCAAACTTAGTCCAAATCCTACATATTTAGGATCTTACCTCAAACTGACCCAGTTTGGGTTTTACTCTTATTATGTTAGAATAAAAATTGGAATTTAGCTGTGATGTGGCACTTCAGGACAAGAGAAGGTGTTAGATGCTGTCAGCTTTCCCTGAGTTGTTCATGTAGAAATTAACATTTAGTTTTGGATAAATGGCCATTGTAGACTTAAATAATCAATTAATTAGTTCAAGCTAAATATGCAAAGTACTGTTTTGTTAGAAAGTTTTTCCTGTTGCAGTGGGTTTAGTTATATTATTTTGGTCTCTTAGCCAGGTTTTGTTTTACAGGAAATCAAAACAAGGGTTAACGCTAAACACATTGGATGTGTTGGATCACCTGTACTCTTACTCATTTATAATGTCAGTACTAGCAACAATAATAACTGAGCTTTAAGTTAAAGTATGTGCTCTCCTTTAGCATGCAAAAAATAAAAATAAATAGGATATAAGAATTGGCATCAAGGAGTTAAAAACTCTTACTAGACCAATTTATTATTTTAATTAACCTGGTTTATTTAAGGACATTTGTATTTTGTATCTTTACAAAAACAAAGCTAACAATCAAACAAATTGGCAACATAAACACACTTACACTGGCGTTTCTCTTTAGACCCATGTGCATAAGCAAAGTGCATTGTTATTGTCTTAGTCATTCAAAAAGCATTAAGATTATTTAAAAAAGAACTAAGTGAAGACGACAAGAAATAGAATGTGTCGACACTAATGCCGTGTAGTAACTCATGTTTTTCTGCTTTTATTCACCAGATTGCTGATGCACAGCAAAAACAAATAGAGCATGAGAAAACCATGATGCAACAGACTTTCCTGACAGAAAAGGAAATGCTGTTGAAAAAGGAAAAACTCATTGAAGATGAGAAAAGGAAGCTGGAGAGCCAGTTTGAAGAAGAAGTTAAAAAGGCCAGGGCTCTCAAGGAAGAACAGGAGCGCCAGAGACAATTGATGGAGGAAGAGAAGAAGAAACTTCAGGCCACAATGGACGCAGCTCTAAATAAGCAAAAAGCAGCTGAAACAGAGATGTATAACAAGCAAAAAGAAATGCAAGAGCTAGAAAATAAGAGATTAGAGCAGGAAAGAATCCTTGCTGAAGAGAACCAGAAACTGCGTGAGAAGCTGCAACAGCTTGAGGAAGCAGCGAAAGACCAACACACCAAAGAAATTGTGACAATAGTTGAGACAACAAAAACTATTTACAATGGACAGAGTGCAGGTGATGTGACAGATAGTGTTGAAAAGAAACCAGATCCATTGTCCTTTGATGGCATTCGTGATAAGGTACCTGCAAGCAGACTGTATGACATCGGCTTTTTACCAAAGAAGGACTTTGATAACCTTAAAAATGGAAAAGCCACTGTGGAAGACCTAGGTAAAAGAGACAATCTGAAGAGAGTTCTCAAAGGAAATCCATGCATTGCTGGTGTATTGACACCATCTGCTCAGAAGCTGTCCATCTATCAAGCATCTAAGGAGAAGAAGATTACTCCAGGCACAGCCCAGATCCTTCTTGAGGCACAGGCTGCCACAGGTTACATGTTAGATCCTATTAAAAGTCAGAAGCTCACTGTTAATGAGGCTGTCAAGGAGAACTTAATTGGGCCTGAGCTACATAACAAAATGCTTTTAGCTGAGAGGGCTGTTGTTGGTTACAAAGATCCATACACTGGTGGGAAGATCTCTGTCTTTGAAGCAATGAAGAAAGGTCTCATAGAGCATGACCATGCCATCAGAGTCCTTGAAGCCCAACTTGCCACTGGTGGCATCATTGATCCCATCAATAGTCACCGTGTACCAAATGATATAGCATATACACAAGGACTATATGATGAAGAAATGAATAAAATCCTGGAAAAGCCATCAGATGACACAAAGGGTTACTTTGATCCCAGCACCCAGGAACCTCTGACATACTCTGAGCTAATGGCAAGATGCACCCCTGACCCTGACACAGGTTTCCTGCTCCTTCCAATTACAGACAAAGCTGCTCAATGCTCAAGTATGTACACAGAAGAAGAAACCAAGGATGTGTTCAACAAAACAACAGTCTCTGTTCCATTTGGAAGATTCAAGGGAAAGACTGTCACAATTTGGGAAATAATCAATTCAGAGTACTTCACTGACGACCAAAAGAAGGACCTTCTTCGGCAATACAAGACGGGAAAAATTACAATTGAAAAAATCATCAGAATTGTGATAACTGTGGCAGAGGATAAGGAGAAGAAAAATGAAATTTTGTTTGACGGCCTAAGGGCACCTGTTGCTGCCGCTGAGCTTGTGGAGTCCAAAACCATCAACAAAGACCTGTACAACCAATTACAAAAGGGCAAAGCAACAGTTAAAGATGTTTCTGAAATGGAGCATGTCCACAAAGCACTGAAGGGAACTAACCCCATTGCTGGTGTAATTATTGATTCATCAAAGAAGACAATGTCATTCTATGAAGCAATGAAGAAGGACATGATGAGGCCAGGACCTGCCTTGATCATGCTTGAAGCTCAGGCAGGAACTGGCTATATCTTTGACCCTGTTCTCAATCAGAAGTACACAGTTGATGAAGCTGTCAAAGCTGGTGTTGTTGGTCCTGAACTTCATGAAAAGCTTCTGTCAGCAGAAAGAGCTGTTACTGGTTTCAAAGACCCTTACACTGGAAAAACAATATCTCTTTTTGAAGCTATGAAAAAGGGCCTCATTCTTGAAGAACAAGGAATCCGACTTCTTGATGCCCAGATGTCCACGGGTGGCATCATTGATCCAGTAAAAAGCTACCATGTTTCTCATGATGTTGCCTGCAAGAGAAATTTCTTTGATGATGAAATGAAGCAGTCTCTGGACAATCCCACAAATAAAACTAAATGCTTCTTGGATCCCAACAAAAAAGAAAATGTCACCTACGCACAGCTCTTCAAAAGATGTGTCACTGACAAGAAAACGGGTCTCCAGCTTCTTCCACTTTCTGATGAAGCAATTAATGCAAAGGATGAGCCAGCATTCACAGAGGCACAGGCACAAGAGGCCATGACTCAGGCCACACTTGAGATTGACTCTGGGCCATTTAAGGGCAGAAAGGTGACTATCTGGGAAATCCTCAACTCTGAGTATCTCACTGAACAACAAAGGCTCGACCTCCTCAAACAGTTTAGATCTGGAAGGATTACAATTGAAAAACTAATTAAAATTATGATCACAATTGTGGAAGAAATAGAGATCAAGAAACAAGAGAAGTCAAGCTTTAAGGGTCTGAGAGCCCCTGTTTCAGCCAGCTCTCTTCTGGATTCCAAGATCATTGACAGACCAACTTTTGAACTCCTTCAGCAAGGCAAAATAACACCTAACAAAGTCAGTGAGAACCCCAGTGTCCATAAATATTTGCAGGGTTCTGAGAGTATTGCTGGTATCCATTTAGAGCCAACAAAAGAGAAAATGAGCATTTACCAGGCAATGAAGAAAAAGCTTCTCAGACATAATACAGGCCTCGCACTTCTTGAGGCCCAGGCTGCAACAGGATTCATGGTCGATCCAGTCAGAAACCAATTCCTGTCGGTGGATGAGGCAGTGAAATCAGGTCTTATTGGCCCAGAGGTCCATGAGAAACTCCTCTCTGCAGAGAAAGCTGTCACTGGCTACAAGGATCCATTTACTGGCAACAAAATCTCTCTCTATGAAGCAATGCAGAAAGATCTTATCTTGAAGGAGCATGCCTTGCCAATGTTAGAGGCACAGATGGTAAGTGGAGGCATCATTGACCCTGTGAATAGCCATCGTGTGCCAGCAGATGCTGCATATGAGAAGAAAATTTTCAGCAGAGACATTTCCAAGACCTTATCTGAACCATCTGATGAGAACAAGGCTTACTCAGACCCAGAGAGCAATGAAAATGTAACATACAGCCAGCTCAAAGACAGATGCCAAAGAGACCCGGAGACAGGTCTGTACATTTTATCACTCTCCAAACCTCAGTCTCCAACTGTTGTGGAGAAGACATATCTCTACACAGAGGAACAAACACAAAGTGACTTGGTCAACACTCAAATTGATATCCCAATTGAAGGCCTTGCTGATAAACCATTGAATCTCTGGGATGTCATGAACTCAACACTGCTCCCTGATGCTGAAAGGCAAAAGCTAATGGATGAGTATCGCTCAGGTAAAATCACCAAAGAGAGGATGATCATCATTATCATTGAGATCATGGAGCAGAGAGAGATAATTAGAAATGAGAGTCCAATGTCCTATATGACCTTGAGAAGAAGAATAACCATTGAGGAGCTGTACAATGCCCGCATCATTGACCTGGAGACGTACAACCTCCTCAAACACGGCAAGAGGAATATCCGTGACGTCATGGAGTTGTCCAGTGTAAAACAGTATCTCTATGGCACAGGATGCGTTGCTGGCGTCACAACTGATGCAAGCTCCAAGTTAAGCATTTATCAAGCAATGAAGAGAGGTTTCCTTACACCAGAAATAGCCATGAACCTCCTGGAAACACAAGCTGCCACTGGCTTCCTTGTAGATCCAGTAAAGAACGAGACTCTTACTGTTGATGAAGCTGTCCGTAAAGGTGTCGTGGGTCCTGAAATCCACGATAAACTATTGTCAGCTGAAAGAGCAGTCACCGGCTACAAAGATCCATACAGCGGCAAAATTATTTCTCTCTTCCAGGCAATGAAAAAGGATCTTGTTCCAGAAGATTATGCTCTGAAAATTTTAGAGGCCCAAAATGCCACTGGTGGTATCATTGATCCTGAATTCCAGTTCCATCTGCCATCAGATGTTGCCATACAAAAAGGTTATATGAACAAGGAAACTAATGAGAAACTGGCCGAAGATGTAAAGGGCTTTGTTGACCCAGTCACAGAAGAGAAACTGTCTTATGCAGAGCTGCTGAAGAGATGCAAGTTAGATGGTGGATTGCGCCTCCTTTCTCTGGGAGACAAGAGGCTGACCTTCAAAGGTCTGAGAAAGCAGATCACCATGGAGGAGCTAATCAGTTCACAAATCATTGACCAACAGACAGTGACTGAACTGAATGAAGGTCTCATTACAGTAGAAGAAGTCAGCAAAAGGCTGTCAAAGTACCTTGAGGGCACAAGCTCCATCGCTGGTGTGTTCTTAGAATCCACAAAGGAACGTCTGTCAATTTACCAGGCCATGAAGAAGAACATGATAAGACCTGGCACTGCATTTGAGCTTCTTGAAGCACAGGCTGCCACAGGTTATGTCATTGATCCAATCAAAAACCTGAAACTGACTGTTAATGAAGCAGTAAAAATGGGAATTGTAGGTCCAGAATTCAAAGACAAGCTCCTGTCTGCAGAGCGTGCAGTGACAGGTTACAGGGACCCATACTCAGGCAAAACCATCTCCCTCTTCCAGGCCATGAAAAAGGGACTCATCTTGAAAGATCATGGTATCCGTCTTTTGGAAGCCCAGATTGCCACAGGTGGAATCATTGATCCAGAGGAAAGTCACAGGTTGCCAGTTGAGGTGGCCTACAAACGTGGATTCTTTGATGAGGAAATGAATGAGATCCTGACTGATCCTTCTGATGACACAAAGGGTTTCTTTGATCCCAACACAGAGGAAAACCTGACCTACCTAGGGCTCATGGACAGGTGCATCATGGACCCTGATACAGGCCTGATGCTCCTGCTACTGAAAGATAAGAAGCGTGAAAGGAAGACTTCCTCCAAATCTTCAGTGCGCAAACGTAGAGTTGTCATTGTGGATCCAGAGACAGGCAAAGAAATGACAGTGTACGAGGCCTACAGGAAGGGACTCATTGACCACCAGACCTACTTGGAACTTGCTGAACAAGAGTGTGAATGGGAAGAGATTACAATGACCTCTTCCGACGGCACTGTCAAATCCATGATTATTGACAGGAGATCAGGGAGACAGTATGATGTTGATGAAGCGATCTCACGTGGACTCATTGACCAGAAGGCTCTTGATTCATATCGAACTGGAAACCTGTCCATTACAGAATTCGCTGACATGCTTTCAGGAAATACTGGGGGCTTCCGTTCCCGATCTTCCTCCTTTGGTTCCACCACTGGCTCCTCTTTCTCCTCTTCTATGAGCCCTATACCATCTATTAAAGCACCGGCTGTCATCTGGAATGATCCATCAGAGGTGACTGTCCCCATAGCTGGCATGTTGGACATAGATACACTGGAGAAAGTGTCTGTGACGGAGGCAATACACCGAAACCTGTTAGACAATATCACAGGTCAGAGACTGTTGGAAGCCCAAGCCTGCACTGGAGGAATAATTGATCCTACAACTGGAGAGAGGCTGTCAGTCGCTGATGCCACAGAAAGAGGCCTTGTAGATAAAATCATGGTTGATCGCCTCACCCTTGCCCAAAAAGCATTCAATGGATTTGAAGACCCTAGAACCAAAGTAAAGATGTCTGCCTCCCAGGCTCTGAAAAAGGGCTGGTTATATTATGAGGCTGGTCAGCGCTTCCTTGAGGTCCAGTACCTGACCGGTGGACTTATCGAGCCTGATGTTGAGGGCAGAGTATCCATCGATGAATCCATCAAAAAGGGGACAATTGATGCCCGCACTGCGCAGAAGCTGAGAGATGTCCACGCTTATTCCAAATACCTAACATGTCCAAAAACCAAGCTGAAAATCTCCTTCAAAGATGCCATGGACAAAAGTATGGTTGAGGAAGGAACAGGTCTGAGGCTGCTGGAAGCGTCCTCACAGTCCACCAAAGGCCTTTACAGTCCCTACAACGCCAGTGGCCCAGGGTCAGCATATGGCTCCCGGTCTGGCTCAAGAACTGGATCCCGAACTGGCTCAAGGAGAGGCAGCATCGATGCAGGCTCTAGCTTCATGACCCTCTCATCTTCCTCCTTTTCATCTTCTTCTACTAGCTATGGCCGCAGATTTTGATCAACACCTTTTATGTCTAACTACTTGAGAGCCCAAATTTATAATGCACTGATAAGTTGCATTTCCCACAGTAAAACAGTGACCTTGACAAAGTTGATTTAATTTATTCATCCCTGCATGTGGTCAACAGTTGCAGTATGTTTTTCCAAATATAGCTGACAGTTCTTTAGACATTCTCACCAAGTAATATTAAACATCGACTCATTTTATTTAGTGCTGATTAAATATATATATATATTTTTTCAAAAAAGGATACATTTTTTTGCCAGTTTAAAATTACTATAATTTTTGTTTCACTTGTTGAAAAGTTGTGTACTTAAGGCTCCTGATACTAATATATAATATATGTATGTCAAGATATTTTTTCCAGTATTTCTCTTTTCCTTTGACATTCAAGAATATTTTCTATTTTTATTGTGGTTGACGGTATACGTCCACATAGTTCCAATGTTTTTTAACAAATCCTAAAAATACCATAGATGCCTTCAAATATTTGAATGTTTGTATAGAGTATGAAAAAAAAAGTTTTTTGTGTTGATGTTTTCATGTTTATTATTTCCTGGGTTTTTGCAGTACACATCCAGGATGAATACACACTTGAGAGACACTAAATAGTGTGTGACACACACTACAAAAAACACAGTAGTAAAGTGCCAGATTTATTACAGTGCAGTCTGTTAGTTACTTTCACGTCTTTAATTGCTTTGTTCTTTCTGTTCACACGTACCATAGAACTATATATCAGTCTCTATATATAGTTTTATGTCTATATAATTTTGCCTGAGTTTTTGTGCTTCTCCATAAATCATTATACGAGTGTTCCTGAGAAATCCCAAGCTGATGTCAGACCCTGCACACAGACCCCACCTCCTGTTATTTTGCTTCTTGTAAGTTGACATCATTTTTAATTTTTCTAGTTTGGTATGTTATATTTTCTGTGTCATTTTTTATTTATTTTTTCACCCGCCCTTGCAAACATGATGGTGAAATATTCAGAACAGTTCAAAGACATGAATGAAAGGCTTACGTACTGTTTTCTTTCCTCTTGTTTTTCACAGTTGCCTCAGTCCTTTAGACAACATCTGAGCACAGATCCTCAGGTGGCCAGAGTGTATGACCCCCTCATCTTGGATGGATTTGTCAGTCAGCCCCAGTCTCACACAGTAACACAGGTACAGTGCAAAACATATAGTTTATCAAATAAAACCTAAAAATTATAAACCTACTAGTTGTGTTCCTTAATGTTAGTTTTAATATATTGTATGTTTCATGTTTCATTTGCTAATTTGCATTTTTATGCTCATTGGTTGAAGTCTGTTTTTCTTTGCTCTGTTTTTTATTTTATTTTATTTTAATTTGTAGCTATTTTTCTTTTGCTTTTAGATCTGCCTTTGAGTAAATCCATTATTTCCATTGTCCATCACATTTGAGGGAAGCTGAGTCCACCTGACATCACCTTGGGATGCCTTTCTAGGAACACATTTCATTCATAGCTTTTTTTCCCATGCATTTAACACACAGATACTGACTATTGTGTTGATCATTAATAAAATAAAAAAAATAAAAAATAAGCAGTGCCTTTTCTTTTTAACTGGTCTTATCTCCACACTGAACCGGTGACTGTAACACTGACTGTTCAGCCGAAGCACAGATGAATTTAACTCACTTGATGCACCATGTTGCATGTATGTAATTTGTGCAATTAAATTTTTTCTTTTGCAAACAGCCTTCAGCTTTACTTTGCTTATTATTTTTTTGACAGCAAGAACTTTGTAAGCTTAATGTAGTAGCATTTAAGATAAATGAGATTTTGCTGATTCAAATGGTAAAAATATAGAAAATGCTTTAAATTGTTTTCACTTACAGGATAGATGTATACTCAAGGCTTTTATACACTTTAAAAAAAAACAATAATATGAAATATTTATTTATTTAAAAAAATACTTAATACAAATTGAAGTACACAATACATCAAAAGTTTCCAGGCCAGAAATCAATCAAACTCAACTACAGAATACATCAAAAAAATAAAACTTTCAAAAAAATAAATAAATAAATTTGTTGTTGGAATTGGTTATAACTTTAATCAGGCTCATGAATTACATCTCTTCCTTTTTTTATCAAAATTAATTTTCTTGGAAAAGTGGAACGAAAATCTGCCCAACTTTGATTTTCAAAACTAATTTGTTAAGGCCTGAGGATTTTCATCAAATAAAAACACAGCTATTCCCTTTTCAAATATATAATGATAAAACTTGACACCTGAGAGACTTTCCTTGACATATCTTAGTTAAAATCTGAAAGTTTTTTTGGAATTTTTCTCGCTTAGTTCCATAGATGACCACACGTTGGCAGTATTACATTGATTACTAAGGAAGACAGTTGTTTTTTCTAAAGGCATAACCAGCTGTAATTTATCTTAGGAACTGATTTCCTATAAACCAGAATAGCCTGCTGTAATCATGCTTGAACATCATGGAAATGTGAGAGAAAATCACGGTTAAAATAATAGCTACATTTGTATTGGTTGATTCCAAAAAACCAACCAATAGCTTCAGAGCACTGTACAAAATTTTGCTCTCTCTGCCATGATTAGCCAACGGGTTTGATATTGGCGCCTGACAACAGAGGCTACGAGGGTATGACCAGTTCACTGAGCTCACCTGAGGACTCTGATTTGACCTTGCTTACATCAGAAGAACCAGACAGGGAGGTAAGTACTACATTTAATGAAAAACAGCAGTATATACAGTACACATAATGGTATTATAGTGGTACTGGAATGACTTGTCGATCAAACAGTCTCACTGACCTAGAAGTGTTCACCGGAAGGCGCAAATTAATTAAAAATGTCCCCTAATTATGGTCTCTTTCAGGATAAAGAAAACACTTTGTTTGGATCAACACCCACATTACCAGATCAAAGTCATAGGTATGCAATATTGTAGTTTATTGTAAAAAGGGGTAAAAGAATACAATACTCAGGAATGTAAAGTAAACAAGTCATTGCCAAAAATAGGGAAAAACTGAAAAAAAAAAATTCTTACACAAACGTTGTCAACAACTGCTGCCTGCTAGGTTCATTAAATTGTCTAAGCAATAATGTAAAGAGCTAACACAACTGCAGACTGAAGTTGCCAATAACCAATTAATTGTGTAAAATACTTAGGTGGTGAGTATTCAGTTCTATGGAAAATAATAATAAAAATTATATTGAATTCAAGTTGTTCATTCTATTAATCTAGTTTTTAGTGTTTGTTTTCTGTCCTAAATTTAGGATAATGATAATATAAAATATATGTACGTAAGTGTCATGGCTTTGATTTAGCCCATTCTGATACTGAAACTCATTTTTACCGGGGGCCACATCAGCAATACAGTTACCCTTGAAGGGACGATTGTTAATGGAAGACTGTTTAGATCAGGGATCCCCAACCCATGGTTCGAGGACCATTACAAGTCAATAGGTCATTTGGCCCTCGGGCCTTGAGTTTGACACATATGATCTATACGATGCCTCTAAACATGTACAATACATTGGGTTACTTGGATTCTTACTTATCTTTTCATCCAAGTTATAATGTTGATTTTGTATTTAAATGAAAACAGCTAAATGTTCTCTAACACACCTCCTCTGTTTCAGGATGGATGTTGAGGACATAAGCCAGTGGCAGAGTGAGTTCAGGAGTCAAATCAGAGCGCTGAGACAGTGGCTGAAGAGCATGGAGATGAGGCTGCCTGCTGTGGAGCCCAGGGTCAGTTCTCATAGCTGTTTTATTAAAGTCTGGTTCTCTGCTGGTTATTCGCTCTAACATTTTGTCCGCTCTTTATCCTATCCCTCCAGTCAAGTCATTGAAACATAAAAACCAAACTGACAAAGGTCAAAGGTTGTCTGGAGAGGTCAATGCTCAGAACTCTGAGAGTTCACAGGAGTTTTCTAACAAAGAACCGTTTATTGAAAATGGACGTAAACACTTCAAAAGTATGGGTATAAAGAAAAGCAGGAAACACATTTTCCTGATTCTTTTTTGATGTCTACATTGCAGGACAAAATGTGTTCAGTTTGTACAGTGTGCAAAAGTTTCTGAATCATGATCCTCTTCAGTGAAAAAGCATTAGAATCACAGTGGATGTGACTGGACTCTACTGTATATTATAGAATACATCAGGTCCTGCCTTTTCTTTGTTCAACATATAATCTATAGTCAACACTGAAGCATTGATGGACTTCATAAAGAGGAGGAAAGTACTGTGGAGGTCACTGCAGAGTTACTGCGCGTCAGACAGATACCAAGGTGGTCCTGCCCCTCTCCTGCAGGGAGAGCTCTTTAGGCCACAGTGGGATGGAGACGCTGGTGAATCAGCCTCTATTGTGCCTTTCGTGGATAGGCTGGCTGGAGGAGTGTTTGGCAGTGAAGGCCTGTTGTACACATGAGCGAACATACTGAAAGGAAGTTAGACTCTGATGGTAGCAAGAGGCAAAGAGGACTGACAAAAAAAAGAGAAAAGAGAAAAGCTGGATTTTTACGACAGGAGACACGCTCAGTCTGAGCTGCTGAGGCATTTGTCAAACACAACTTTGCATTTTTGCACAAAACTAATTATGAGAATATTTGTATAATGAGGTGTAAATACTGGCTGGGCCAAGCATCAATCTGTCCTTGAAATTTTAGATTTTTTTTCTACATTTTCAACTACAGGTGAAAATAATCAAATTGACTCTAATACAGATCTCTGACATGTTCCAGCTTTGTTATGAATGAAGACAGTACAGGAGTGAAGCAGGAGCGGCACCTTCTCTAACGTGCTGTGAGACAATTACAAACAAAGACATGACGGATGTTTGATGTTTGGCAGTAGGTGGAAACTACTGAAGGGCCATCAATGGGAATGTGACCCATTAATGTCGATGGTCGTGGCAGCAGCAGAGTGAATGAATGAACAAAAGGCTCAAACACAGCCTGAATAAAAGCCATTTTGACTTTTTTTTTTATTTTATCTGTCACAATTTAACCAGAGGCATTCTTTGTTGGGATTAAAGAACTTGCTGTTTCCCTGGGGACTGATATCTAAGATGCGCAGATATGTCCCACCACATCATGAAAGCTTAAATACTACGAGAGCGTTCATGTGAGCCCCAGCAGGAGGGTGTGTGTGTGTGTGTGTGTGTGTGTGTGTGAGTGTGTGAGTTTGTGTGAAACTGAGGGATTTTTCATCTCTTCTCTTCCTTTATCACACTGCATCCAACCACAGATCTTTGTCATGGTAATGCTGTGGGTCTGCTTCACCGCTGGTTTCTGTCTGGGCCTGTGGGACTCGTTAGGGAGCGACAAGAATGAGGACATCCCTGAGAACGTCCCCCATACATACAGACCTCTTTATAATCCACAGGAGAGAGTCACACACCTGTCCCTTAACACACACACGTCTGTAACCATTCTTTCCAATCAACACAGTTTACATGTTCATGTCATATTGACCTTTGGTCGACTGATGAGCAGCGTGAAAATAAAATTATAAAAACCTATTAAAATACCCACATCCCATTTCCAAACATTGATTTTTGTTGATATTTTATTTTTCCGCTCTGAAAGGAACACGTGCAGTGAACAGCTAACACTTCAAGACAAAACTCTCCCAAACACAAGGGATGCATCATGGGTTGCATGTTGCTAGGTTACAGAGAGACTTGGTTTTTTTTTTAATGTATGACTACTAGGCATTTGGGATTTGTTTTGCCTGCGTGTGTGTATTTTGGAATAGTTATGTTAAAAGCTAAAAATATTTTTTTCCATCATTTTGTCTGTTTAGTCAGTTGTGTAAAAACAGATTATTTTTTTTTTGCATCTTAAGCAACTCTAATTATTTTCTTAAAGAGATGTTTGCTGTAAATTTTGTGAAGAAAAGAAGACCTACCTCTTGTTTATATCCATAAATACAATTTTATCATGCTAAAATACCATGCAGGTAAAAATTTGTTTTAATATTAATATTTAAGAACTTTTGACCAGAGAATGTAGAAGAAATCAATTCAAATCAGTCTTTGTAAAACAAAAACAAAAAAAAACAAAAAACATGAATCATGAATATTAACACCCGTGCAAACACAAACTGACCCACTGTGTGTTTATCTTCGCTGTGTCCCCCTGTCTGAGTGTCATCTCCTCACTTCACAGTCAAACTGAGGTCAAACTAAGTTCCTCTTTTGACAACCCTCCCCCTCCTCACTCAACTGCCGGTGACATTCTTCTGCATAAAGGCTCTATGTGTTTTAAATAAAATGTGTCTGGTTTCCCTGGGCTTGTCGCTGAAAGCTGCATCTCAAACAAGGCTTGTGCACACAAGCTGAGTGGAGAGCTGAGACAGAGGTGAGAGGTAAACATCTTTGCTTTTTCTGATGGCTCCCAAACGTCACCTCTGCTCCATGACCTTTGGTCTGAGGGTGAGGATGGGGAAGTTGGTTATCTTTGCATCAACTGAACATTTAGAACAATGGATGATTGGGTTCTGTTGGCTTTGGAGGTAAACTGATTTTTATTTTATAAGGTAACGTTTTTACACACTATTAATCACCGTTAACAGCAGAGTGGGGCCTCTTACTTTATAACTGGATGGACAAACAGATAATGTGGAGTTTTTGGCTGTAAATCCTCTCTTCCTTGGAGCAGTCCAGTCAAGAGCAGAACAGATGATGTGGTTACTCCTCCATCTTCAGCGCTCACTGAATCCTCTCCTCACCCATGACTGTAATTTCCCAGCAGGGTCTGGGCAACCCCACAAGAGAGCCCAGCAGCCTTTCATCCTCTCTCCTTAGAAGCAGTGTCTTTTGGTGATAAATGACAGTGTGCAAACTGAATGGGGCTTCTGGTCTGACCCCCTGCAAAAGGAACCCCTTCTTTTTTCATTTCTGCTGAAGAGGGCTAATTACCATGTTCTGTAGAGGAGGCATTGCCTTCTTATTTGATTTGAAGGCTGCAAAGACGAGGGGATGGTGGAGGAGGGGACGGACGTGTCTGTAAAATTCATCTTTTTTTCCGTCTGCTGCGTTGACAAATGAGCTGTAAAATTTAAATCAAACACAGTCCAGGCATTAATTTATAATATCATTTTGGAGCTAACTTTTTTTTTAACTTTGTTCTACTCCGGCGGGCTCTATCTTTGTTGTGTTTTTTTTCATTTCCAACCGTACTGCACAAACAATAATCCAACCCCTGGCTCCTTATTTTACCCCTCAGCACCAGTTTATTGCACCAGCACATAGCCCAGTCTGCCATTTGCCGTTCAAGTACATCAGCTGCTGTCTTCTTTTAACAGCTTTGCCTACCTACTGTGAAATGGAGAGGAGTGGGTTTTGGCAAAAATCACTCAATTAGTGCAGAAGGGGCTGGAGGATGCTGAAAGCTGGGATCAGGTGTCGTATTGCAGCAACAATGTCTTCCTGGCAAAGGGCTGTTGCATCACTGCCAGCGTCTTTCTACGGGTACCATGAATGTGGGCCATGCTCGCTCATTAAACAGCTGAGGACATTAGCTCTTTGGGTTTGTATTGAATCCCTTGTTTGTAAATTGTTTGTCAAAGACGTGTGATGTCCAACACATCTGCTGGTTTACAGTAGGTGGTTGGTATTTTTGGTAGCGTTGAAGACGAGAGAGGTCTTGGATGAATACTGATGGTTCTGTCCTGGTTCACCGTGGTGAAAGAGTCGCAGAGGTTAAAACTGGACCATCCCGAGGTCATTCTATTCAAATAACTCACTTTCTTTCTCTTTTTGGTCACACACTTTTAGTTTTTGGTTTCCTTTCACCTCGTCCTTTGTTTTCTGCTTCTTTGTGTGCATAAATTACAACTGAAGGAAGAGTAAGGGGTGGAGGGGGCGTCAGACATGGGGAAGTGATGTGGAGACTGAACACATTTATGCAGCGTCAGAGCTGATTGAACAGCCTGTTTTCACCATGAGCACGGTTCATTCAAGGATTTCTATACACACACACACATCTACATACAGATACAGACCCCCTCACTCAGAAATGCACCTACATGGTCTTAAAGGGGCTTATCTCTGAATGTTTCTCTGCAGCGCCCCCTTTTGTATAGAGGAACATTATTAAGTCCCCCACCTTGACACAATCACAGCTTTTGTTTCAAAACTCTGCTGTACTTTTCTTTATTATTAAAACACTGCAATCCCTGTAGGACAAATAAAGACAGTATTTAAATAAAAAATAATCGGATTTGCTGCAACCAACCTGGAATAATTTGCCCTTAGGCTGACCCGCTCCATGGTTTGAGAACCACCACCCTAAGTGCACACTTTCCGATGCCTTGTAAACGTTAGAAAGAATTTAACAAATCTAAAAAAGGTTTTAAGACAAAACACTGCTGATGTGAAAAAGTATTGTAATTATGTGTATTTTTACAGGGTTTTGCACAGTCTTTTTGGTCAAAGACTTAAGCGGCTTGTATTAGCTCAGGTTACAGCGGGGATGGACAAACAACCTGCTTGAATTTTTCCTGAATATCTACTGTGTAAAGCCTTGGTAAACAAGCTGATAAATCACTTTTTTCTACTCACACCTCCCACTGAATTAACTAGGTTTACATTGATAGGTTCATAAAGAGTTCCTTCTACATGTTACACATTAGACCACTTACTCTCCAGAGAGTGGTATTGATTTTATGGTACTTTACATATGCCGGGATTGTAGTGGAACGCACATGGACACAGGAACATTCCAGTGAATATTTACTTCCTGTTAGAATATTTAACATGATTGATCTAAATAAACAAAATGAAAAATAGTGTTTTATTTTTAAAGACTTTAAGGACACATTTCAGGACGTCCACACTAGACCGGTATTTAGGGTCAGGAGGAAAAAACAGATAGTGACTGTACTGTAACTATGGGAACTCTAGTGCCTGTGTGCACAGACTTCAAGTGTGCCTTTGTGTGGCTGAGACAATCAGGGTGCGTGCAGGCATGTTTACTGTACATGCATGTATGCATACAGTGGATTGATTGATTATTTGGTTGGCTGGAGAAAGACATTAGAAAGAAAAAAAGACAAAACACTGATTATTATTATTATTATTATTATTATTATTATTATTATTATTATTACCTGTATGCATGCCTCATCTTTTACTGAAGAATAATTACTTTTTTTTGACACGTGGTACAAACACCTACTCAATACAAACACCAAAAATGTTTAGTATGACCAGTTTAAAAGCCAGGAAAAGGCCCTTGACTGTTGCTGAGATGATGTTTGCATACAGTATGGTTGCCATATGGACAATATTGTGACTTTTGAAATGAGGCAGGATAGAATTTCACCATAAAGGTTCTTTCTTTGCGTTCCCATGCAGTGGCAGAGAAAGGGCTTCAGTATTATCTTCCCATTCCTCTCTACTTTGTGTGTTTCCTGCTTCTTTGTTTACCGGCCGGGGTTGTAACGCTGGAAGTGAGTTGAAAAGTAATCTGAGATGTTTTACAGTAATTAGTCGTCTTTGTTGCCTCTTCTGGAAGCTACCGCATTGAGTCTGAATGGGGGAATGAGGGGGCTGCAAGGGGGATGGTGACAAGTGTGTGAGAGGGTGACTAGCAGGGTGGGTGTAGGTCCCGTCTTTTGTAGCCTGCACTTCTCTCGTTCACCAGCGAGAGCGAGGAGAAGGGCTGAGGCAGCTGTCACTTAACATGTGAATGTTCTAAAGGGGGCAGCCTTGGGGTCTTTAGAAACCTCTTCTTTTTTTATGCCCGCCTACCCACCCTGTTTTTCAAGCAGGAGCTGCATGGAGTTTTTGAGCCGCAATCAGACTTAGAGGAGGGGCTTTAAAGAATGAGGGGCGAGGGGGAGAGTGGGAGGAAAAACCCAGAGGAAGGTAAAGGGGGCACTTTGCCGCCTGAGCGCTTGGTACAGGAGCAACCTGAGCAGCAGCAGCAGCAGCAGCAGCAGCAGCCGTGCCAATGGGAGTGACACCATCCTCTAACAGAATGGAACTAACCAGTACAATCTGACCTCCATGTGAAAACTGCTCCTGGTTGGCAAGTGTGGGAGTTGAACTGAGCCGTTGGAATACATTGTCTCCATCTATCCCATCAGCGGCATTAACAAGGAAGGAATGCCTCTATCTCAGCTCCCACAACAAAGAAGAAAGGGAGAGGAGCAGAGCTGGTGGGAGGAGAAGTGATGTGAGGGGAGGGGTGCACTGTGAGGGGAGAGGAGCACATTGTTTGCCTGTGACTGTGGGCAACGGAAAAGCATGAGTTATCAGGGCATGTGTTTGGAAAGTGTGTTTGTATGTAAGCATGTGTGAATGAGTGACGTGGACGCAGTGGATTTTGGAGTGAGTATGCTAGTGTGTGTGTGTGTGTCAGTGTGTGTGTGAGGAGCCTTCAGTTTAGGATGTGAGGGCAGCGAGAATGTTCAAAGGATGCCCAAACAAAGCTGGACTTTTTTCCCTTCTTACCTCTTTTTATGAACGTTGATTGAGGATTGGCTGGATTCCTTTACTCATGCTGTGCAACTCAAATCTGCTTCAGGGTAAGTGTGCGTTCACATGACCTTCAAACCGCCAAAACTGACAGAAAACCAGGACACGGGGAGTTTGCTTTTGGACTTTGCTGGTTACACTGACTGAACTGAGGAGACATGAGAGTGAATGAGGTCAGACTGAGGGATGTTCTCTATTTACTACCATTGCTTAAAAAAAATTGTTAAAAGAGCTAATATATTTCCAATATATAAATGTTTGCTTCTTTTGTAAACAAATTACAAATTGTTTTTTTTTCTCACTGGATTGGCTCTTTTACACAAACCTATTTTTTTATTATTACCTGTATATTATTTATTAAGGGCATTAATACTCCTTCATACCCTGAGATCAGTGTCTCTGTGGTGAATGTCTGACCTCGCACATTTTACTCTATAAAATGATGGCTCTCTTGGGTGATTGTACAGCTGCCATTCTTGATTAGAGACCATTACCATGATTACTATGGCGGGTCCTTAACAGAGACAGACACCAACAATGATGTGAATGAAGCAACACTTCAACTTTATGGCTAATTATCATTAGTCTATTTCAATCATTAACCATTGAATATTGAGTTAGCTCAATAAAATATTAATAATATAATATTTAGTTATTGAGAAGCCCTTACTGTATGAATCATTAACCATTGAATATTGAGTTAGTATTTATACAGGATTATACAGGACTTATACAGGATTGATATATGAGGTAAAATACATACACACATCCACAGCAGAGACATTTAGGTCAAAAATGTATTTCTGTTCAAATAATAGATATACATAAAAAAGATAACCAGTACATATCAGTTTTAAATAATCCAAAGAATCGTTTTAATTTGATGTTGTTTTTAGCCTTGTTATTGAGAAGCCCTTACTGTATATTCGTGTAATGATAAATTTCATCAGTAAATGGGCGGCTGTCAAGTATCATGAATCACTATTAAGAGCAGGGAGAGCGGCTGGGCTAAAATTAGGCCCATTTCAGAACAGGTTAAGTGATGGGATGGTTAGGTCATCCTCAGTGGGTGTAATAAGGGGCTGGTGTCATTTCCTGGTTCTCTGCCTAGTAGTAGGGGAAACAGGAGGTGAGTATTTGATACAGGCTCGGAGGGGGAGTGTCTGGGAGGTTTTTCCTGGTTTGCAGTTTTATCTAGGTCAGGGTGTTACTGTTGTATTCTGTTACACTAAAGCTAGAAAACGACAAATTTAGTTCACGATAAATAAACACTTGGTTTTTTCTGCACATTTTACGGATGTCATGAAAGAATCTGTCATCGTTATAGAAACGGTGTTGGGTTTTTTTTAAGCTAATGACCCCAGATGCCTTGCAGTAACCAGATATGACACACCCTCTTTCTTGAACTGTAAACTCATGTGGACCATAGACCCCCTCCCTCTCTCTCTCTCTGGGGTCCTCAGGAGACCACAGGGTAGTCATCTGAGCAAACTGAGTAATCATTGATCTTGGGATCCTAGGGCTTTGTCCTGGCACTACTCTCTAATCTGGATGTGTCCTTCCCAGTGGATCTCCTCCTCCTTCTTACTGCTTAGCAGAGACTGCGTGATGTAGACAGTTATTAGCCTAATGCAACAGAGGCATCAAATTAAAATACAAGTCATATTAAATCAGTTCAACACAGCTGTATAAATGATGAGATGCTATTCTTAAAGGCAGCAGATAGTAATAAAAGAGGGAGTATGGAGCTGCGTAATTTTTGTTTCCATCTCGTCCATGTATTTCATTCATTGAAGCAGAACTGTAGGGTCAGAATTCCAATATTGACCTGCTAACCAAAGATCTTCAAAGATTGTCCTGAATTAGCCGATGTGATTCTGAATGGAGCGGACAATCTTAGGGGATGAATGAACCTGATCAGCTCCTTTAAGATATTTTCATTCACCCTTAACACATGTGTCAGAAACAACGGGGCCTTTTGTTAATGAGTTTATAAATTCTCACTATTGTTTATGGGACCATTGTTCGCCTCAATTGTTTTTTTATTTCTTTATAGATTTTATAATTTTTTTCAGTTTTCATATTACACTGCACTAACATACACATTTAGTGGTTGTATTTCACTGTGTGGTCTGACTTCCTCTGTTATTGTCAACCCAGAGAAATTATGTTATGTCTGCTCTTTTATGGCCATCATATTAAATCAGATCCCTAACGGTTTTTCTCAGGGCTGCTGGAGGTTGATTTAGAGAGAGAGCTGGCTGACTGCCACAGGTTCTATTGTGGCAGGCTTAACGGAGGGATCTTTGACAAGGCTGTCACATTAATTTCTGAGCTGTGGATATTGCAGTTGTTGATCTGAGACAGAGGGAGGTCTGTGTATATATTTATTAAGCCCCACGAAGTGGCAGAGTAGGTCCTGGCCAAGTATCTCTGCCGCGAGCCCTTCATCAATGTCAATGTGGAAACGCTTGGCACAGAAACATAGATGAGACATTTCTAATTTGCCATTTTTGTTTGCCAAACTGAAATATGTTGTTTGACCTTTTTGAGTATGCTCATTTCACATGGTCTTTCTCTGTGATGACTCAGAGCCCCCTTGTCTTATTTTAGGTAGCCGAAGATCTCCTTGCATGCATGGCCGAGGGGCCTTATGTCAGATATTACCTCACTAGCCTCTGGGCTGAAGGATTATGGGTAACCTCATAAGCCGGCCCAGCTGCCTGGGACAGAAGTCCAAGCATGTGAGGACAGACGAGGACTTCCTGAAAGAGTGCTACCAACGGAAAAGAGAGTGGAAGCCGCAGGAGCAGACTGTGGAGACCAAACCAGAAGAGGTGGTCAAAGAAAAAACCGCAGATGTTGGGGAGATTGTTAAAGAGACAAAGACAGAGGAGCTGGAGGATAAGAGGGACGACAGGAGTCAGACCCCGGTCTCGGACAAACCTCTCCGCAGCTCTCCAGCGTCCACAATCAGGAGTAACAGTACTCTGGACACTGGCTGGCACAGCAGCCCTTCACCAATAAAAACGTCTCGGAACGGGACATTGACAAGGAGGACAGGACCCCCAGAGTTTTCCAGATCCCCTTTGGCATATCCTGACAGAACTGCAGCCGAGAGAAGAGCAAGTTTCCAGAGGAGAGACTCCAGAGAAGGAAGTCCATGGTCTTGGAAGACTGTGGCCTCACGTGAAGTCACCGAGGTGACGGAGGTGACGGAGACCATCATAACTGAAATTGTTGAAGTGACGGAGTATCCGACGGGCAATAAAGGAGGCAACCCAGTAGTCACCAGAACTGTTAGAGTCCTGAATGGAGTGGCGGAGGAACTCGCTGAGGTTGATGGAAATAATATTTTTTACTTTCAACATTTTATTTTTATTTTCTTAGAAAAATAGAAAAATGTTTTGTCTATTTTCTCACCAGAATGAAACATTTTCACACCTTTGTCTTTACCTTCAAAACGAAATAGTTCAAACTGTGTTTTCTCTTAAAAACACGGCAGTAAATTATTTTCATGAAGTGACATCAATGTGATTATTTCTTCCTTGTAGCTCCAAAGTGATGGACACTCAGATCAAGACCAAGGCAAAATGGTTAAATGGAGGGTATGTCAGTTCAAAAGCTAATCTGATCTGAACTGTGTTGATGGAATAACGTTTAAAATCTTATTGAAAAATATATGCATTATTTTCATTGTCCTTCTAAAGGGACCAAAATCCACTCTGGCTTTGAAGGACAATGCGACAGACTCTGACACGTTTCTCCAAAACCTGACGGCTCTGCTGACATGGATCAGTGAGATAGAGGAGCTCACAGCCAGTCAAAAAGCCCCGTCATCGGAGGTCAAAGTGGTAAAAGCACAACTCCAAGAACAAAAGGTGTGTTATCTGCATCGTGTAATTTCGTTCCTCATCCTCAAAGACATTTTTTCAGAACAATAGCCAGGGAAGACACTGTACAAAAGACATACCTATATGTATAGATATGTTGAGGTTGTGTACAGCCCTAAACCGCTTCCTTTATCATATAAACACTCAGTAGTTCTCAGTGGGAGTGGGCAGCATTCAAAGCAACAATGCATCTTTGTGAGCATGTCCTGGGGGTAAACAGAAAAGTAGGGAAGTCTTCTCACATTTCAGGTGTAATCACACCCATTGTGAGCTCTTTGGATCAGGTGAAACCTCCCCGACTTCCACAATGTGGACGTGATACGGAAGACAGGGCGTCCTCCATACTGACACAAAGACAGAAAAACAACAACAATAGTGCTTTGATTAACACTAGTTCATTTCTCTTAAATCAGGGCCATTTATTTGAAGAAATATATAACAGAAAAAAAATATTTTCCATGGAAAAAAGACAATTGGTAAAAAAGCCACTCATAAATAAATCCCCTTCAGTGTTGGTAAATTTTTATTTACCCTCAGTCCTAATTCATTCTAATGGAGAAAAATCAATATAGAAAACAAATAAATAAACAACATATGCACAAAGGAATTATTTTTCCATTGATTATAAATGTGCCCACAATCAACAGAAGAGTTTTATATTCACAGGATCATAGGATTTCTGTTCATTCTTATATTACCACCCTGTGTCTCAAATATCTGTCTTCATAAATCTCCGTCTTTGCCTGAACACTCAGGTCTGACAACCATAGATTTCACTTTTTCTGCTAAATCTCTTTGATTTATTGAAGTTGGCTCCACTCCAGCGCATTGTTTTGTTTGCAGCTCCTGCAGCGCCTCCTCACAGACCGTCGGCATAGCATGGACTTCATGGTGACCGAGGGCCCTCAGATGCTTGAGGCCCACCCAGGAGAGGAGGGGGAGCAGACAAAGGTCAAGCTCTCCACTCTTGAACAGAAGTGGGAGACCTTGCAGAAGGCGGCCGAGCAGAGGTCAACCACTTTTACTGGCCATTCCCAACGTTCCTGTGTTTTTGTGGAAAATAAAATGCTGTTTTTGATCATGCTTGCTTTTACTCTTGCCAACAGGAGGGCAAGTCTGGAGGTGATTCTGCCCAGGGCTCAGGTCTTCCAGGAAGAAGTGGACGGCCTTCAACAGTGGTTCATATCTGTAGAACAAGATCTGGCTGAACTACGGAACGCTGAGAGAGTGATGCTGCATCTGTCGGAGGCCGCTGATCGAGCCAAGGTTGGAAACATGCCAGATATGGATACATTTGTTCACAGTGTGGTAAGAGTCCTTTGTACTAACTGTTGTTCACTTGTTTTATACAAAAGGCTGTTTTCGAAGAGATACAAACCAAAACCACACAGCTGAGCAGCATTCAGAGGTCTGGGCAAGATCTGAAGGACGCACTTTCAGGTATTACTGACAAATGGAAGTATCTACAAAGTCTTGAAAAATGGCTGCAACTTCACGCTTTGACATGCTAAACTGAACTGCATATTAGATGAAGAGGCCCAGCAAGTGCAGGAGAAGATGGATGCTCTACGTATTCGATGCTCTGTGTTGAGTCTGAGCAGTCTGGATGTGCTGCAGAGGCTGGAGCAGGCCCTGGAGGCCTCCAGTCACTGCACGTCCAGCCAGGAGGACCTCCACCTGTGGCTGAGTCGCATTGAGAGGGAGCTCCTGGGAGCAGCAGGAGCACAGACACACGCTGGAGATGCAGTACTGTGTGCAGCTGAGAGACAAAGGGTAACATCACCGACACACACATACAGATTAGCTTGATCTTTATGCAGCAAATTGTTTATACCATAGGCTAACCGAGGAACTTTTATTTTGTAGTAAGTAATTAATTAACCTTAATGTGTCATGATTAGCTGGAACAGGCAGTGCTGAAGGAAATGGCCTGGTTCAAAAACACATCACTGAATTTGGAAAAGCTGAGGACCGTAAATCTGGACCGACAGCTAATAGAAGAACAGCTGAATGAACAGAAGGTCTGAAAAAAAATCACACCTCCTTATTATTAAAAAAAGTTTTTATTTCTATGATATGTCCTGTAATGTTCTGTTTTTTTATCTAATATAATTTGTCAGATTTTGGCAGTGGAGATTCTCCAGCATAGGTTCAACATTGAGAAGATGGCAAAAATAGCTGAAATTCTACTAACATACAGTGACGAGGGCGATGGAAGTGAACTCCAGGTAAACATTCAATACTTTTTTTACTAAGCTTTTCAGTTTTTGTCAGTTTCGTCATTTTTTAAAGCTTCTTGATGTTTCTCCACACAGACACCCATAGATGTTTTGCAGGAGAAATGTAATGCCACCCTGGCCACCAACTCCCACGTGGTTCTTCAGTTGGAGCACGCTCAGTTGCTGCTCCTGCAGTTTGCAGAGAGCCTCACTGAAGTTTTGCCCTGGTTGAAAGAAACTCAAGGCCTCATTGGACATCTCTCCCTGAGCACAATTAGCTATGAAGCATTTCGGGAACAACAGGACCTCCTACAGGTAGAAGAATCCTGTCAACAAAGATGTTGTTTTATCCTGAGGAGTCTGACAGTCTGAGTTCTAGTAGGCAAGAACAAGTCATCTAGTGTTCTACTTGTTGACAAGGTTACTCTTAAAGGAGATAATCATTTCCCTGTTGTACAATAACGAATCAAACAGGTCTAATCAGTTGAGGCAGACTTCAAAGTGACATATTCAAAATTGACTTTGTCTGGGTCTGTCTTTTGTACACATATTTACCTCTCTAATTGAGTAAATGTCTTTATCATATAATGTATCCTCCGTCTTAACATTTTAGCTGCGTACTGCAGGCGTCACTTTTTAATATTTCTGATGTCTAAGATAACACAAAAGGTCTGCAAACTTTTCTGGACACAGGGTTTATAATATATTCACTTTTCTGAAAATCTTTTGCTTTTCTGTTTTCTTCACTTAAGGGTCTGAGGGAGTCAATAGCAGAGCACAGACCTTTGATTGGACGCCTATGCTCTTTAGCGAAACGCCTGGCAGAACTAAATCCCATTCAGGGTGAGGAGTTTTGTCGAAAGGCAGCAGAAGCTGAGGAGCAACACAGAGCGATAAGAGACCGTGTCAGAGAGACAGCCAGTCTGCTGGAGGAATCACTGCCACGATTCACGCAGGTGAGAATCATGTTCTATTTAAAGAAGCAGCACAGCTCTTTGTATCACACATTTTACATCATCGTTCCTGCTCCTGCAGCTGAATGAGAGGATGACTCTGATCAGAGAGAGCCTGGACCGCCTGTGCAGTCGCATACAGACCCCCACATCCCTTCAAGGCCTCACACCGAGGATCCAAGAGCAGCTGCAGGACAACAAACACACCCTGTCTGAGCTGTCCAAACTACAGCTGGGCCTCGGCAGTGTTAAGACTCAGGCAGATGAGCTGCTGGCAAACACACAGGCTGCCGGTGATGCATCCATTGGCACAGGTAATCTCTCGTCTTTTCAGAAATGACTTCACCTGTGCGTAGCTACTCTCTAATCTGAGGTATAAACACTCCAACTTGTGGAAATCTTATAGCAATCCAGGAGCGAGTGTCTGGCCTGTCTCAGCTGTGGACTGAAACACACACTCAGGCCCAGGAGAGGGAAAGCTGGCTGCTCAAACTCTTGGAAATTGCTGTGAAGTTTTGGAATGATGTTGGTGATGTCACAGCTGCTCTCAGTGATGCGCAGCAGGCAGTTGTGGACCTTAACGGTAGTCGGACAGACTGCGAAACAATTCGCCAGAGCCTGGAAACGATGCAGGTGAGTCTGAAAACGCTGAAGCACAAAATACCTAGATTGGCATACATATTTATTCAGATTCAGACTCAGCAGTGGCAGCATGTATTAAAATGACAGCCGGTGTCAGCCTGTTATATGTATACAGTATATAATATCAAAGCAATGTGATGACGACTAAGCCAACGTATGATGAAAACATTGCACTGGTGATATAAATATTGCACAACTTAAACAATGTATTTGTTTATTTACTTTCAGACTGTCGGGGAGGATATTGACAGTTTACAGGGAGACCTGGATTCTCTCGCCATTGTTGGAATGGACCTCATGTCAGCATGTGGAGATACAGACAGACCACATGTTACCAAGAGCCTAGATGAAGTAAAAGTTATGAACTAAAAAAAACAAAAAATGTTGACCCGTAACGATGTGGTGAAACATGACTTCCTGTCTCCTGCTGTCCTGCAGCTCTACTGCACCTGGAACAACCTCAGCAAACTGTGGAACGAGTGTCACAAAAAGCTGGAGGACTCCTTACAGATGGCGCTGCACTACCAGGACTCTATGCAGGTGCATTGTGCTGTTCATTACAATGCTTTATGTTCTTGCAGCTAAGAGGCATTTAGCTTTAATTCTGTGCATGATGTGATTTCTAGGGTCTTTTTGAGTGGCTCAAGTCCGTTGAACTAAGGTCAACAGAGGAATTCATGGTAGGAACAGACTTGGAATCAGTCAAAGAGCAGCTGTGTAATCTTAAGGTGAGCTTGTAAACCTTGGTTGAATAGGAGTCAATTCTGACAGGGTCAATATGTTGGTAATTATTGTATTCATTCCCTGCAGGAGTTCAAGAGAGAACTTTATCAGAAGAAGATCGAGATAGAAAGCCTGAACCACCGCTTCGTTTGCCGACTGTCTCCAGGCTCAGAGCGGCCGGGGTCTGTGTCTCCGCTGTGTGACTTCAGAATTCGCTGGGACAGCCTGGAGTCAGAGACTGTCAGCAGACAGGTGAGATCAGGGACTGAGATGAGTTTGATTTAGAAACAGCAGCAGTGACATCACTTTACTCTCTGTTTATTATATTACATCAGCATCAGCTGGAGTGTGCTCTGATGGGTCTGGGTCAGTTCCAAAACACGTTGGATGAGCTGCACACGTGGCTCTCCCGGACCGCAGAGCTGCTTCAGGGCAGCCAGCCAATCAGCATTGACCTGCAGGCCTGCGAAATAGAGTTGGCCAAACACAAGGTGGGTGGTCTAATTAAATCAATTCACAGGGATAAACACATTAGTACATGTCCGTCATTTGAGGGCTGTAATGGTCAGAGATATTTATTCATGATTTATTCATATAATTAAATTTTCATAATCTTCTCATGACAGTTTTAGAAATCATTCATTTTTTTCCTCATCTTCTCCAAAGGTCTTGCGAAATGATGTCATGTCTCATGTTCGCACAATGGAATCGCTAAATAAGGCGGGCAGGGGACTGCTGGAGGTGGGGTCTGTGGACAGTCCACATGGTCTGCAGTCTCGCCTAGAGCAGCTTAATGAAAGCTGGGAGTTTGTTCGCTGTGAGACTGAGCGGAGGCAGCTGGAACTGGAGAACAGGCTGAGTCAGGTACAACAAGAACCAGCAATATTAGATAAAGAGACTCTGGTCCAGACCTTATTGAATTGTTGCATAATAAACACTAGCTTAATGGGCCCGCGACATTGGCCCCGTGGTTTATTGCAACCATTTGTTAGTGTTGGAAATGAAGCCCTTCAATGGTTAACTTGGAATTTACAGTACAACAGTGCCACCCCGTGGCCATAATCTGAAAGTCATAAAGGTCATTTATTTCAAAGCTTCAGTAATCATTTGTTTTATTCCACTTTTGGTTGAAGTGTTGATGTTTGTCTTTAAATATTGTTAAATTTTGAAAGCAACACAACTCAGCATTTAACAAAGAAATATCACATCCATGGTTGTGTTTGCAGGTCCAAGATGTTAGCATGGAGATACAGGATCTCCTGCACTGGCTGGACAACACAGACCTGAGGTTGTCGTCCTCTAAGGCCACGTGGGGAATGCCAGACTCTGCAAGTGAAAGGCTGAGTGCACATTTGGTGGGAACTACCAGGAGTTTGGCTCTGAAAATAAGGAAATATACTTAAGTCATTTTTTCCCATTACTTTAACTGTGTGTTCTGTATTTCTTCATCCTTGACAGGAATTGTGCAACGAGATGGACTCAAAGCTTCATGCCTTCACTGATGTAAAGAACGCCATCTACAGGATGCTCGAGAGTGGCAATGTTGTGCGGGGTTCAAGCGCTGAACACAGTCTGTCTATGCTTGAACAGAAATGGGCGTCTGTTTACAACAAAGTCCAAGAAAGAAAGGTTCAGCCTTACTTAATATTTTTTATTCACCACAATTTAATATAGAAACAATAAAACACAAGTACATTGTATATGAGTATTTACTGTGTATAACATTTGTCCCAAAGGCTAAACTAACAGAGGGATTAAGTCTGGCCAAGGAGTTCCATGGTAATGTCCAGGAACTTCTGACTAAGATGAGCAAATGTGAGGAGTCTATCGGGCTCCTTCCATCTCCCAGCTTTGTCCTGGACACTGTCTGTGCTCAGCTGCAGGATCACAGAGTATGGACTTACTGGATTCTTCAGTCTCAGAGTCACATGGTCACATGTAGGCGTTAAATCACCTTGGCTGCATTTTATCTCTTTCCAACAGACACTCTTGAATGAGGTAAATGGTTACTGTGAGAAGAAGACCACAGTAGAGAGCACTGGCTGCAGACTGAGTGCAATGAGCAGGAAGGAGGACTGTGATGTCATCCATAATCTGATAATGACGGTCCAGGATCGCTACAAAAAGCTGCAGCAGTGTACCTCAGAGCGGGGCAGGACGCTGGAGGAGGTCAAAAAGAGTGCAAAGCAGGTAAATGTAAAAGTTATTCCAATTAAAAGATAATAATCAAATATCTTAACTTTGATGTTTAAACCTTCAATTATGTCTCGGCCTGTCATATTTCAGTTCAGTGAATCTTGGCACCTCCTACTGGACTGGATGACTGAAGTGGAGCAGACGTTGGACACGCATAAAGAGATCGCTGTGTCTCATGAGGAGATTAAACAGCAGCTGACTGAACAGAAGGTAGAGTAGGCAACGATATAATTACAGCCAGAAAAAAAGGAATGAATTATTTCACTGATCTGTTGTTTGGTTTTTAGGAGTTCCAGAAGATGCTCAGGTCAAAGAGGCCAATGTACGAAGCTACGCTGAAGAGAGGTCGGAGTCTCCATGAGAGAGCGCAGACCGGCCATGACAGACAGCACCTGGAAAATCTGCTGGCTGAACTCAAAGACACGTGGGACACAGTCAGTGGGAAGTCTTTGGAGAGGTAAGGATCATTTACCAAAAATGATATTTCCTTTTTTGAACCAAATATCAGTTTTACTGAGAACTGTGTTGATAAGGTGAATATTTGGAGTGTTTTTTTTTTCCTCAGGCAGCATAAGTTGGAGGAAGCACTGCTGTTCTCAGGCAGATTCACTGATGCTCTCCAAGCACTGAATGACTGGTTGTACAGAGCAGAACCTCAGCTGGCTGAAGATGTTCCAGTTGGAGGAGACAAAGATATAGTGAATAATCTGATCGACAAACACAAGGTATAAAAATATACATCTGTTTGACTGATGTTATATCTAGGTAAAGACGCAGCATGTGAAACAATGTATAAAGACTGGCCTTTTGAACAGGAATTCCTATATTTACATTTGTAAAATGTTTGATTTTAATGATGGCAAGTGTTTTCTGTAGTGATAAAGGCTATAGTGTTTTAGAAAAGAAAAAAAAAGAAAAGAAATAAAATTGCTTCTGCTTCCTCTCCTCTGTCTCTCAGGCTCTCCAAAAAGAATTGGGAAAGCGAGCTGGATGTATTAAGACCCTAAAGCGTTCTGTGAGGGACCTGACCAGGAACAGCACAGCTGATGCTCATTGGCTACAGGAGCAGATGGATGAACTGGAGGGTCGGTGGGAGGATGTGTGCAAACTGTCAGTCAGCAAGCAGGACCGGCTGGAGGCGGCACTTGAGCAGGTAGTTTTTTCTAACTCTAAAGAAATATGTCCCTTTTATTATATCACTCATTTTATGACCAGATTAGCAGTTTAGCGCTGTCTCTGATACTATGCTAAAATTGTCAACATTCATGTACTTTTTAGGCCGAGAAGTTTGACACTCTTGTCCACTCTTTCATGGAGCGCCTCACTGAAGCAGAGAGAATACTAAAATATGGAATAATACCTGAAGATGAAGAAGGTTTGCTTGCCTTCAGCAAACAACACAAGGTCAGTAAACATGATACTTTAACTCTTCTGGGCAAGACCATTTTGTTTTTCAAAATAAAGACAAATAAAGTTAAACTTTCTGCATGGTAGACACTGCTAGCTGAACAGAGAGCGAGCAGAGCTTTCACACAAATTTTATGTTTTCCTGTTTTAATTGAGTAGAGCTATTTACATGTGTCAATGAACAAATTCACTCTTTAAAGAAAAAGGTTAAATAAGTTATTTAAAAATGTGTCCTGATGAGGTGTAAATTCCTTATCTGTCCACTGTGCCATTAAACCAAGAATTAGCGTCTGCAGCGCAGGGGCCTGTCTTTAGGTCTTCTGCTTAATTGCTTGTATCGTAACAGAACAAATCAGTAAGTCTTACACATGTCTTTACCTTCAATGTTAAGATTCCTCCAAACTGCTGACATTGTTGATCTACTATAATAAACAGCTGGTGGTAATGAAAAGCTGTCAAAGAGTATCAGTTCACTAGATTGGTGCCCGACTACTTCGAGTATTGTGAGTGTAAAAACACAGGCTATGATGTCTTAGAATTATGTCCAAACCATCATTTGCATGTTTGATCTTATCGTCTGTAGGAGTCAGTGAGTGTCCTGCAGTCTCAGACTGTGGAGCTGGAGAGCATCCAGTCTCTGGGTGAGAAGATTCTTTCTTCCTGTCACCCTGATTCTGTGATCACCCTAAAATCCTGGATCAGCGTTACAAAAACTCGCTACGAGGAGGTAGGTGATGCTTCGTCTTCATGAACAATATTGAAGATCAGGTTTACAGCAAGAACATTATTAAATCCCTGTACTGGGCTGTTGTCCGAGCTCTTGACATAAGCTACAGTTGCCTAGGGTGCCACCTGCTGGAAGGGAAGTCCTTTAAGAGAACAATTTGTTTAGAATTATAAAATAATTTAATAGTGATTTTTACAGCCTGACTGACATTGTTTCCTCATCTCAAAAATAAATACACATTTCTTTTAATTATTTAAACATTTTATTTATGTAATTTAATGATATTTTAGTGTGTGTTTGTTTGTGTTTTGGTGTGTTTAATCGATAGTGAAACCAACAAGGTCTGTCATACAACTGGTGCCCATTATTGTTTATTATAATCATAATTATAATTATTATATCATTAGGCCAGCTGTGTTTATTTTTGCTGGCTCAATTATTTTTTTTCTGGGTTTCTGCGTCAGGTTCAAACATGGGCTCAGCAGCAGGGCCAGAAGATTCAGTCCAGCTTGGCAGCACTGGATGCAGAAAAGGAAGAATTGCAGAGACTTCTAGACTGGATCTCCTCTGCAGAGGAAGCCCTGACCCTCAGAGACCAAGAACCTCTGCCAGACACCACAGAGCAGAACCAGGAACTCATCGAGCAACACAGGGTGTGATATTTCTCAATTGAGCATTTTTATTTACTTTTTCAACTATTTGTATCTTGGTGTTAGATCTTTCACATTTGTATATTTCTCTAGGTGTTTCTGGAGGAATTAAATAAAAAAGTTCCAGAAGTTGAACATGCTACAAAGTCCTGCAAACACAAGAGTATTACTAAACAGCAAGTGTCTCCTAGTAAAAGACCTTTTTTCAGTAAGATACATTGAACTGTTCTTCTTATATACATATATGTTTACAGAAAGTACCTACTGTAAAAGTCAGTACCATTCACATCACATTTATTTGCAAAATTGATACAATACTTTGTGTACAGAGAGGAAAAGCACCTTGAAGATGCAGCCCTCTCTACCAGTTCCTCTGGAGCATCTCGACCCCCAGACTCCACAGATGTGTCAGCTGGTCTCTCAGTGGCAGAAGCTTTGGCTCCTGACCATGGCCAGACAAACCCGTCTGGAACAACACCAGCAAACACTCAAAGAGGTGAGGGATATATGTTTTTTTATCAGTTCAAGAAATATAAAAATTTGATATTGATTTGAGCTTAAAGTTCATTTCCTTCTGAACAGATAGAGGAATTTGCAAATTTCGACTTTAACATCTGGCGGAAACGGTACATACAATGGATCAGTCATTTAAAGTCACGCATTTTAGATGTGTTTCGAAGCATCGACAGAGACCAGGATGGACGCATCAGTCAGAAGGAGTTTGTGGATTACGTCCTTTCTTCCAGTAAGACTAATTAATTGTATTTCCCTTGTAGTTTGGATCTTGTTTGTTTTTAATGCTGTCATATTTTATCAGAAATAAAATGAGTAAAGTATTTTGTTTTAGTTTATTTATTTTAAAAATAAAGCCGTTTTTTTGTTTTATGTTTCCTCATTTTCACCTCCACTCTGTAGAATTTCCTACCAACTCTTTGGAGATGAACGCTGTAGCGGGCATCTTTGACATGAACAACGACGGCTTCATTGACTACTACGAGTTTGTAAGTGCCCTTCATCCCAGCAGGGACCCCTACAGGAAAACACTGGATTCAGATCAAATCAACGAAGAGGTAAGAAGTGTTTTAAAACAAGAAAACTGACACTGAAAACGGATAATTCTGTCACAGTTACTATTTGTTCGTTGTCTTCAGGTGAGTCGCCAAGTTTCCCAGTGCAACTGTCCCAAGAGGTTCGAAGTGGAGCAAATAAGTGCCAATAGATACAGGGTGAGACTCTTTTTTTTTTTCATTTACAGAATCATTCAACTGAAACCATATCTATTGTAACTACATTTTTATTTATTCTCGATCAGTTTGGTGATTCTCAGCAGTTGCGAATGGTTCGTATTCTGCGAAGCACATTGATGGTGAGAGTGGGAGGAGGCTGGACTGCTTTAGATGAGTTCCTGGTCAAGAATGACCCATGCAGAGGTCAGAACTCTCTCCATAACAACTACAAACAGTTATTAATACAAAATTACAGTATGTTTACATGTCTGCCAAAAAAAACTTTGATTGTATTTTGAGAAGCCGTTACAAATTGCCTTCAAGATTGCTGGATTTTAACAATTGTGAGGATTAAGTCATGTGATCAGTTTTGACATTGTAGCAGCGATAAAGAGAATCTTCCACTAGGTCGCAGCAGATGGCTATATAAAAGAGCCTGTTGAAGATCTGTGTCTAACTTAAATATCTCAGTATATCAGCATTGTTTTAACTAGACAGTTCCAGGTTTGTAAATTGTGAGTAAATTTAAACTGGAAGATCAATATATTAAATTACACATGCTTTTTTCTGTGACAGTTTTGTTTGGTGCTGCATTGTAGGATTTTTATAATAACTAAGCAAAATACATGCAGTGGCTTAATAAACCAGCTATTGTTCTGGTGCCAATTTACAAGCTTGGTAAAAGAGCGTTAGCTTAGCATGTTAGCCATTGGCAAGCAAGTCATACATAATATTATTTTTAAAGTACATTTTGAAGTGTATACCGAAGACTGTTTAGTGAACATGCTGTCTCGCCCACAGTCAAAGGACGAACCAACTTAAAGATCAAGGAGAAGTACTTGTCTCCAGGTGGAAGCTCTTCTAAAGGTTTGACAGTTAGTAGATCCAACTCCAGCCTCAGCCTCTACAGCAGTGCCTCGGCCCCCACCAGCCCCATGACACGCAAGGCAAAGGTTCAGATCTTCATGTTCTTGCATTATATGTAACTTAGGTTGACTAGAATGTTCTATTTATTATTATATTATAAGCTCTTTCAAATATCTAATGTCAAATCTTTTTTGCTGTAGGCGTTACTCCGCAGAAGTTTCTCAGGTGATCGCTGCATCCGTCCCAGGAGTTCCATTGCTGCTTTGGAGTCTGATTTACAGTTCGGCACAACAGGGGAGGATGTGTTGTCCACACCGTCAGGTCAGTTTCAAATAAATATGCATTGTTATGTGTACTCTATAGAAACAGCTGCACATAAATGCTTTTCTGTGTGTTTGTGACCTCCAGACGAAGCTGAGAGGTTACCCACATGATCACCTGGGCCCCTCACAACCATGTGCACGCTGCATCCAAACACAGCCTTGAGGGGTCTGGAAACAGTGATAAGCAGTATCAGTCACATCCGAGACTCAGATCCTGACAGAGTGGTACAAAGTTCAAAGGTACACGGTTTATTCAGCTTTGAAAGGCCTCCAGGAAGATATTGAGAGGACAATGAGGATATTGATTTTTAAATAATAGTCTGTGATTGCATCGTGTGTTGTGGAAGGTTCTGCATGGATGCTCTCTGCATGAAGACAGAGCCCTGCGTGATATTTTATTTTTGCATTAAAAGTGATTTAATGTTTGGGAGAGAAATTGTTTTTGTTGACACACCTCTTAAGGACATTGTACACATTCATTTGACACTTGTATCAAATTCATTGAAGCTACAAGACTCCATCCATCCCTTTGAAATTTTTTGAGGGGAGGGGGTTGTTTCATTCCTTGAAGACGACGTTGTTGGCAGGGCCACACTGTTTTACATTCTGTGATGCCATATTTTGAAATACTTGTGTATTTTTGTTGCTATCCTGTACTTCACTGTAAGAATGTGTAATGAGCAACGCACCGCAGTGCAGCAGGTCATTGTTAATTTGTAGAGATTGTTTTCTCAGGATTGATTTTGCCTTTCATTGTGTTTTCTTTGGGAACATTACTGTGAAAGCGTAGATGTCTAGGTGGTTTTATGTGTAGCAATACTTCCCCACAGCACATTTTGTTTATTTGTTTAAAAATGCACTTTTCATCATTTGACTACTGATAGCTTGTTAGTGGGGAAAATGGCAGATGTGAGCTGTGGAATGAGGGCTGTTTCTTTTTTTTTTTTAAACATAAACCAAACTAGGGTTTGTGTTTCCTTTTTCATTGCAGAATGCACTGGAGTTGATGTCTAATTGTTGATGAAACAAGTGGTTTTAAAAGCATAAAGCAGTTAATATCCATTTTTGTCACTTTTCTGGCTTTGGTGTCTGCTTTTTATAATCCCTTAAGTCTGGTCCATTTTTATACCTTACTCAAAAAATATTTAGGGACTATCTGTAAATACACTCACCCCGAGAGTGAAGCAACCGCCCCACAGTCTTTCTATGCTTAAAAGACTGCTCAGTGTTTTACTGTGTGTGGACTGACTGCTTACTTTGTACCTGAGCGTGATTTGTACTAGATCTCTTATGGACAAAACAGCTGCATATCTACATAACTGTATTCATTCTATGCAGTTGTGAAAAAAAGAATTTTTAAAGTCAAAAGTGGTTTTACATGCTGAAAACAGCATTTTCTTTTTGCCTCAGTGTGATGATGTTTGAAGAGTGATATTTACTGTACTGTACTGTAAGAAAAGAAATAGCCAATTTCACTACTCTTGCTATGCAGCCTAACCTTTCTGTACTGTAAATGTTTCTAAACCTAGCTCTATTCATTAAGGGACTGTAGATGAATGCTCATCATTTGAATTACACTTGTATAATAAATTCATCAGTTTTGTAATAAATCATTGCCGTTGTTGTTTATACTGAACAGTATACACATACAGGGCTTGTTTGAAAAAACAAAAATGTTGAAAACAGTTTAAAAAGTTGACGTTATACTGATTTCAATACTTTTTTTTCTTTCACTTTTCTACTGCTTACAAACTGGGATTCCAATCCGCCACCCTCCAAATACAAGCGCAATCCCTCAACCAGTGAGCCGTGCGACCCTCTTCTATGTAAAGTGTGTATTGTGATTTCTTGCAACAGTGCAACATCCGGTTCATTCAGTTAAGTTCTTTTTTTTTATCACTTCCTTTAGTTCAGTTGTGTCACACTTGCGTCATTCTCATGCTTCTTTTACCTTTATGAAGAGGTTGTCCTTCTGTAAATGTCACTGCCCACATTCTCCCATGAGTATGTTGTCATGGTTGTTTGCAGTGCATCCACTGGGGGGCAGACCTCAACTCTTTCTTTCCTGCCTTCAGACCTAAATTGAGAGTTCTCACCTTTTGTGACATGACTGTACTAGTGTGGAACACACTCTTCTGTGTTCCTTTCTGGTTGCATTTGAAAATGCTGAATTAAGCACATACTGAATACAAACTACTGTTTAAAAATTTCCCTGAGCTTAACTACTAAATCGGTTCATTATCTATTGTTATTCCTTCCTGAGTGGGGCACTAGAGCCAATCCCAGCTATCTACGGGTGAGGGCGGGTACACCATGGACAGTTCACCAGTCCAGGTACACGTATAGAGACAAATAAACACTCACATTCACACCCATGGACAATTTATTTTAATCAACACAGAGAACATGCAAACTCCACACAGAAAGATCAATCAGGGATCAAACAACGTTTCCCTCCGTGATAATTACTTCACCTTCCTCATCTGTGTCTAAACCTGTATCTAAAAAAGGTTGTCTCTCTCACTAGTTAACCAGCAGTTCTTGCCCTTTTTCCCCACATGATTAAAATCATCCACCTGACTTAGATAACGCCAACGTACCTGTGAGTCTGTTGTATTTAAAGTCATTAAAGACAGTTTTCTTCTTTGGTGTTCTGCATTTCAGTTGTCCAGCCTGACTCTCACAAAAAGACATTACTCTGAACTTGGTTATACAGCAGACAGACTTAGTTTTTACAACAGCTGTCAGTCCTTTTCCTCAGCGTGTTTTTTGGTAAGAAGAATCTTATTGCAGTTTCATACTAAATGTTGTTTAAACAAACAATCATTAAATTAGAAATGCAAATTTAAATGTATATATATGATGAACTGTTTTAGGCTGGCAACTTCCTTAAAGGAAGAAGTAATATCATCTGTTTATCTCTAGTTAAACCTCCAGCCCCTGTTGATCTCCACTGAGATCAGACTTGCTATCAGAGTACACGCAGTGCCAAAAACACACAGGGCCCCTGAAGTTTTGAGAAAGAAAGCAGTGTATTGTACTGAACAAACAGTCAGCATGACTCCAGGTCACAGCAGTGGCCTGTAAAGTTGAGGGTTTCATCAAAACAACACTGTCATGTGACTGGCTGACCGGATGACATATTTGTCATTCACCTATATTTTACAATCTATGATCGGATTTGAATGTAGAACCTCACTCCACCCCCATCATCACAAGCCTAAACATTATTGTTGCGTCTGCAGCAGAGAACATGTAGTACCAGTCAGTGCAAAGGTGGGCTGCACTGCAGAGGCAAGTCAAATACCATGCTCTGGAGTTACTGCCC